GCAGACCATTTGACAGAATGGTTTGGGTTGGGAGAGACCCTAAAACTCATCTCATTCACCCCCTCCTGCCATGGGCAGGGACACCTTCCACTAGCCCAGGCTGCTCAAAGCCCCATCCAGGCTGGTATTGAATATTGAACTGCCAGGGATGGGACATTTCCTCCACCAGTGTCTGGACACTGCTGTCCAAGTCTCAGCTCCATCCCAAACCCTGATGTGAGATTTACACTCTTGGGCTGATAGCCTGTGGTAAATAAAGCACCAACCACCTGGCACTGTGAGGAAGATGCTCTGGAAAGGTTGTTCCTGTGTCCTACCATGACAGCATGGACATGCAGGCACAGGATCCCTTTGCACTCTTGACCCACAGCTCATGGGCAGAACCAGCTCTGAGCCCATGAGCAAATGGCATCAATGAAAACATCTCTGGCATTTGCCTTTGCTGCTCCAACTGTGGCAGTGATGGCTGGGGACTTCACAGCACCAAGCTGGGGGAGGACCCAGCCAAACCCTTTTCTGTGCCACATCACTGGCGTTCATCACTGAATTCCCATCAGGAAAGGCACGGTGGCTGGCTGGGTCCCGACACAGCGGGATGCACGGGAAGACGCAGCTCCATCCAGCCTGAGGCAGCCAGGACTTAAGCCAACAGTTTCATTAGCTGGGATCGCCAGCGTCTGAGAAGCCGCGCAGGAAATTATATGTGATGGGGTGAACAAATTACCACCCAGCTCCGACCTGCGGCTCCGCCGAGTCTGCGTGCTCGCGGCTCGCTCCGGCTGGAAGCGCGCACGGCGCTGCCCTCTGCCCTGGCAGTGCCCGGGGCCTGACCGCGGGATGAGGCTGGGCAGCAGCTGCTCACACAGGTGTGCACACACACACACACACAGAGGTACACACACACACACATGTACACAGGTACACACAGGTACACACACATAGGTACACACACACACACACATGTACACAGGTACACACAGGTACACACACATAGGTACACACACACACAGGTACACACACACAGATGTACACACATGTGCACACACATGCACATACATGTACACACAGGTACACACATGCAAACACAGACGTACCACATACATGCACACACACATGTACACACACTCATGTATACACATGTACACACATACACAGCTACACATATACAGGTACACACCTACACGTAGACACATGTACACACACAGGCACACACACAGAGGTACACACACACGTACACACACATGTACACACTTACACACACACATGTACACACATACACAGGTACACATATACACGTACACACCTACATGTACACACATGTATACACACAGGTATACACATGTACACACACGTGTACACACACACATGTACACACATGTCTGTGTGTGCTCCCCGCTCCCCTGTAGCCTGTCCACTGTCCCAAGCCATGGGAATAAGGCCGGGAGCCGCCCCACGGTCCGCACCGCTGTGGTCCCAGCACAGCCCAGCCGCGCTGGGTTTGCCTTGCTCAAAGCACACGCAGGGAGGGTCTCTCCCATCCCACCTGCACATCGGGGACCCTCCCCGGGTTTCTCCGCTCCTCTCCGTCACCCCCTCAGCCCAGGGCGAGCGCGGAGGGTCCCCAGGGCGCCACGCCCGCCGCAGCCCCGCGCTCGGTGACTCAGGGCACGGAGGGAACAGCCGTGTCTCGGGGCGCTTGCCCGACGTGTCGGGACCGGGCTGCCTTATGCAACGGGGAGCCTGGGCTTTCCCCGGCTGCCAGAGGGCTGAGACATGCCCCCGGCTCAGAGAGGCACCGACCGGGAGGAAACCCCAGCCCTGGACAAGCAGGATGGCAGCAACAGCTGGCCCTGCAGAGCTCCGGGCTCCCTGGCAGGTACCAACCCAAAATGCTTCTTCCCGTGCTCCCAAGCCCTTTGGAGCTGGCAGAGCTCAGGTACAAGCTCCCCAGCTCGCTCTCTTCTTTCTGGCTCCCCTTTAACAAGGGGAAAAGCAGCGGGAGCAAGCAGGAGCCTTTGCAGCCCTGCCCAGCATCACCCCGCACCCCAGAGCCAGCCCACCCCGTGCGAGGGTGATGCGGCCAGGAAGGGACACCGGCATCTGTGGCGCATCCCCCAAATCTCGCTTCCTCTGCCCAACACCTCCACCCCGCTGCCACGAGCTGCAGGAGCTGCAGGAGCTGCAGGGGCTGCAGGGCTGGAGGGGATGCAGGAGTGCCCAGGGGATGCAGGGGTGCCCAGGGGAGGGCAGGTCCCCGCTCGGTCCCCTTGCCGCTGCTGGCCAGAGCAGGGGATGCGGATCAGGCGCTCGCCGCCGCTGCGGAGGGCCAGCCCTGCCTTTCCCTGCGGGATGCGCTGCCCGAGCCCAGCCTCCGTCCCGCTGTGGGGGGATACTTACGGGCGGTGAGCGGAGGTGCCCTGGCTGAGGTTGGCCACGTAGGCAGCAGGGAGGTAGCCCGTGGCCGGCTCCCCCAGCAGCCGCCGGGCCAGCACATACTCGCCCTCCTCTCTGAGGACACGCAGCTTGTCCCCTGCGCTTACGCTCAGCTCCTCGGCGCTGCGGGCTGTGAAAGCGTACAAAGCGATACAGAGAGAGGACTTGGGGATGAAGGAAATGGAAGTCGCCTCCGAGTTCAGCGAAACGGAATCAGAGCCAAGATACCCCAGCGAGCAGCTCTCCGTCACGGAGCGGGGACGGAGCTTGTTCCAGAAGGAGGTCAGGAAGGTCAGGCGCTTCCTGACGAACTGCTCCATGCCCGGCGATGCTCTGGGTGCGCTGGGCTATGCCAGCGCGCTCCGGGAGGCCGGGGGAAGGGGGGATGCGCGGCTCCTGCCGCCGGCCGGGGAGCTCATCCTGCCGGCCCGCGTTACCCGCACGCGTCTGGGCGCTCGCCGGCCCTTCCCGGAGAACTTCCTATTTCTGAAAGTGAAACTGGTTCGTCTGGTGGGACGAGTCTGCCGGCGGGACGAGTCTGCAGGCAGGAGTCCCACGCTCAGACCCACGGGCACATCTGGGAGACAGGCACAGCTGGAGCCGGGCTTGCTGCTCTCGAAGAAGAAGGAGAACGGCTGTTGTTTTATTTAATCATTATTTTAAAGTGTGCTCTTTGCTTCTTACCAGAGCACCGTAAACACAGCTCTCTGTTCTTCGAGCAGCTCTTGTCACAAGTGGCTGACTCCAGTTAATAGTCCTCATCTCACTTGTGTGGGAGGATATTTTTTCTTCCATAGGACAGTAATTGCATCCACAAATGTGGGAGAGTTAAAACAGAATTAAGGAAATAACCTTAGATGAGATATGAAGTGTTTGGATATTTCCTGGCTGGATATTGGGGGGCTTATAACACAAGATCCTTTCTTCCTTCACTCTACAATGACCTCCCAGAGTTACCCCACTCAAGGATTTGCCTCCTGACGCTAATTCCCTGTTGCAGAGGATTGCTAGGGAATTTGCATGCCAGCTCCACCAGGATCTAGTGCTCACACAGCTTCCACCAGAGATGGGTCCCCCTCAGAATCAGGAGATCTTTGCCTGATCAGGGTCTGAACCAGCCTCAGGTGCTTGCATGGCATCCACAGCCAAGCCCTGGAATGCAACCCCAGCTCTCACAGTGTCAGCACAGCCACACTTCCCCAGCCCTGGTCACTCTTGGACACTGACATGCTCCAAACCCCCTCCCAAATACCACTCAAACCACCAGGGATACCCCCTCACACCTTCCATGTGCACTTTAGGCCGCCTGAAGATTGCTCTGGTGAGAAATCCCAACTCCAATCCCCCAGCCCCCACCTGGACTTTGTCATTTAACTGTTCCATCTAATTAGTGGGAGTTTTGTGCCTGGCAACCCCACTCCTGGCCTTAAGCCCATTATTTTGATTCTCCTCTGCTTGCAGTTGGTCTGTGTAGTTCATTTTGGGTGTGCAGCAGAGATTTGAAAGAGGCTACTTAAAAGGAAATATTAAAAAATTAATTGTAGGAGTCTGGGCTGCCAACTGCAACCATGTGGGGTATGAGGAACAAGCTGGACTCACCCTTGGGTCAACAGCTCTAAACATGCTGTGTCCTGCATCCTGGGTGTCCCATGATGGCCAAAGAAATTGCAAAAGGATTTCCTTGTCTGAGTTTTGGACTCAGCAATTTCCTCACCCTCTCCCAGAGATGCCCAGGGCAGAGGGCAGGAGTACAGAGTGCTCCTCAGCGTGGCCTCTGCATTCCTGAACTGATGAGAACTGGGAAGAAAGGGAGTCTTTAATAAAATATTCTGCTCCCTCCTTACCCAAGCAGCACCTAAACAGCTGCCCCCTGCCCAGCTCACAGCCTCATGCCAGTGCCAGACAGGGATATGCAAAGCCTCTGTGCATTTTCCCCACTGTGTAAAGCCTCTGAATTTTCCCCACTATGTAATGTCTCTGTGCATTTTCCCCACTGTGTAATGTTTCCATGCATTTTCTCACTTCAGCATGAGGAGGGGAGCTCAGGATGGAGCACAGAAGGGTTTGCAGACCAAAGGGAAGGGACACTCCCTGTGCTGTCCTTCTGCAGCCCGGGTGACAAGTGTGCTCCTCACGTCACACTCCATCAGGAGCAAAAGGGGCTGACTGCTTATGGCCTGAAAAAAATCTGATCAGATGCAGCACAGAGAGCTTGTGCCTCACGGTTTTGAATGAGGTCTCACTGAACTGCTGGTGTGCAAAAGGAGACTGTGAACTGATTTACCTTTACTGACCTTTGCCAGGTTAGATCCTCCAGTGGTACCAGCGATAGACAAGAGCTGATTTCTAACACGCAAGTCTTTGGATCTTGATTTGCACCTAAATGAAAGAGTACTTTCAAATGACAAACATCCCTGAGGACTAAATACTGCCTCTGAGCTGAGCCTACCAGACATGCAGAGCACACACTCATCCCTGCAAACCTCTGTCTGCAGAGGACACACATGCACAGCTCAGCCCTATTCCAGGAAAGAGACGATAAATCAGTCTTTTTCTAGTATCTTTTTTTATTATTATTTTCCTATTCAGTTCCAGAAGCATCCCTGCTGCTTTGAATCCCTTTTAGTACTATCAAACACCTTAAAAAAAAAAAAAAAAGAAGAAGAAAAGCATGTTCATAGAAGATTCTGGTCCTTGTGCTGTGGGAAAGAAAGTGGGAGGATGCAGTAAAAGTGATAAAGATAAGAATAGCACAGATATCTGATGGATCAAGTATTTCCTCTTCAGTCCCCATGACCAGCTCACAAAGATGTATTAAAAACCAATCTGTCCACAGATTTGGGGTTGTGGTGGGTACACAGGGACTTCAGTTCTAGCACCACTAAGGAGCACCTCCAAAGAGCACCAAAACCAGCAGAGCTGCCTGCACAGCCCTGGTTTGGCTGCAGAGCACCAGGGAGCCATAAACACAAACAGCATTTTGCATCCACCCGCGTGTCAAACACCACAGCGTGGCCTCCCAGCCTAATTGACAGAAACCAGCAGCTCCCCTCCACTAATGAGAGCACCCATTACACCTAATTAGCTGAGGTTCTCTTGCAGGTCCTGTTACGTTTACACTCAAAATACATCTTCCAAAAAAGAGCCTTCTTGGAGGGAAAAAAAGGAAGAGCATAATTCCAATTAAACCTCTAAATGGGAAGAAAGTTGGAGAATGCAGGTCATGCTGAGGAAGATGGCTTTGAGGAATGCAAGGTGACTCTGGGGCTATGGCATGTGCCACTTGCCACCAACAACTGGCAAAGCCCAGCTGGAGATCCAGGGTGGCCACACTGTACCTGGCACCCTATCCTGAAACACCCAACCCTGAGGTTCCTCTTGGTCTTCTGATGGCATCAGAAGATGGCTGGGGTTTCTTCTGGGCTTCGTGTTTCTTTGTCTTTTTTTAAAACTGATTTCTCCAGATGTTTCCTGGCCCCACAGTGCATTTGAGGAAGGTTTAGCCTCTTAATGAATTGTTGTGGATGGGTGTCCAGGGGACAGTTCACACGAGGGCTGGTGGGTGATGGATGACAGCAGTGCATGGGAAGAGGAGCAGAGTAGAACAGTGCATTAAAGCAGCTTCAAATTGTCTCTATTTCCTGGGGGCTGTGGAGGAGGCACCTTGGCAGACTCTGGGCTGTCACCATCGAGAGCAGAGCCCATCCCTGGGAGGCTGACAAGGGCAGGAAGGGTCCAGGGGCTGAGGGGCTCGTAGACAGTCAGTGCAGAGGGTTCAATACAGCAAAAGTACAGTGGTCCTGGGACAGGGAGTGGTACAGGAGGTGTGAGAGCAGGCACAGCACCAGGGGGTCCCACGGTGGCTCTCTGAGCCCTATAGGGGAGGGTTGGACTGGCTGGAGAGCAGGAGTGCAGGTCACAGGGCACCTGAAATGGCACAAGAAAGCAGAAAAGCTCTGTAAGAGGCAGAGAGTTTGTAGAGTGCCTGGCAGGTCTGGAACAGGAAAACCTTTAAACCCACAGTAATACTTTTCAGGGACCCTGTAAAGCCAGGCCCCATCAAGGATCTGAAACAATGGCAAGGAAAACCAATTCATATATCACAGTGCAGTCTGTCACATTTGTGAAGCAGAGCCCCTGTTTGAGTGGAAGATCTGTAAAGACCAAAACAGTAAATCATGCTGATAAACAGCCTGGCCAGCTTTCAGGCTTTCCCTTTCTGCTTTTTTTCTGTGTTTATCAGCCCAGACCAGCCTTCACTTGTCCCATCCTTCAATCTAACTTCCAGGGAATGAATGCCCCTCCTAGTACTGGCTGCCTGGAAGAACTGCATTTCTCAGAACTCCTCTGCTCCTGTCCCTGAAGTAATCACTTCCAACACATAAAACCCATTCACCATCTTGTTCAGATTGGCAGGTGCCAGGGAGCTGTTCAGCCTCTCTGTCAAGGCTGCAGGGATCTCCATGGGAAGCAGGAGAAGGGAGCTCAGGCTGTGTTCCCTGTGCCCATGAACACCTGCACTGCAGTTCTGGCCAGGACTGTCACTGTTGAGAAGCAGTGGGAGTCCCCTGGCTGGCAGGGGCTGACAGGGACTTCACACAGGCACCTCACAGCTGTGCTGCCCTGGTTGGGGCTGAGCAAACAGAGGACTGGTGCCTTCAGGAGTGAGGAGCAGGGTGACTCAGATGGGCAGGGGGAAATCTCTGCCAGTTTGTAAGCAAATGATGGATTGCTCCATCTGCCCAGATGTCCTTGTTCCCCTGGGGAGGAACCAGTCCATCCGCTCCATCAGTGAGCTTTGTGATATCCCTCCCCACAAAGGTCCTTCCGAGGCTCTTGGATTTGGGGTTATGACATTAAATGTTGTTAGAATAAACCTACCCAGAGTCCCAGGAGAATAGGCCCAGGAGACCTCACCCAAACCACCTGGTCCATCCTATACTTATGTCTTTCCCCATCTTTGCCAAACCAGTTCTTAAAGGACCTCCAGGAATGGATATGCCACCACGTCCCCAGACAGCCCATTCCAGTGAGTCACTAATCACTGCCAGCAGAAATGAGTGTCTAACCTGCTGCATTTAAGTCTATTACCTCATGTCCCATTCATCACCTCATTGCTCCATCCTCCCTGCATGGGAACACTGCTGAGGTGTCCCCCCACACTGACCTGTGGGGCCCCAGCCCAGAACAAACACACTGACCTTATACAAGGAGGCAACGTGGTCATCTTTTTCTCCATTTGTCCCCAGTCTTCTTGCCCTGTCCACGTGTGCTGGTGTTCCTGTGGTGCCACCTCAGCTGGCTCTCTAGTGCATTCACCTGGGGAGGAGAAAGCAGCAGCTCTGTGAGGAGTCTGCACCACTGCACAGATAAAATTTAACCTGTCCTAAATGTGGGCAGTCTGCACCACTGCACAGATAATGTTTAATGTGTCAAAAATGCAAGGAGTCTGCACCACTGCACACATAATGTTTAACGTGTCAAAAATGCAGGGAGTCTGCACCACTGCACAGATGATCTTTAACCTGTCCCAAATACAAGAAGAAAATGCTGGCTCAAGTTTTCATTGCTGAGGTTCATGACTCCATGAAAGACAAACATTGGGGCACCAAGTTGTACCTGTTTCCGTAGGGAAGTGACTGTCTTCTCCAGTTCTGCCACAAGGGACTCAAGGTTCTCTCTGGAGGAAGAGCTTGGAGAGGGTGTCTCATCTCTGGGGTCAGGGATAAAAAGTGAAAGGGGTTATGCAAACAGCAGTTTCCTAGGCGAGGGAATCATTTTGCTTTCTCCAATATCAGCCTCCAAGTGAGCATCAAAGGGAAGGGCCCAACTGCCAGATTCACCAGCCAAGGGGTGCCAGCCAAAGAGCCCCTCAGCCCAGGTATTTATACATCAGAGCTGGGCTCTGCACTGAAGTGTGGAGGACTGGCTGAGCTCAGCACCTCTCTACTCATCCACCCCTGACCCCAGATCTCTGCAAAGCACCAGACTCAGAGGCCTGAATGGACTGAGTTATTAAAACTGCTGTTTGATAAACTGGAGGTAGAAGGGGTGATACTGCACCTGGGCAAGGCAGGCTTGTGCTTTGCAGGGTTTTCCTCTGGGTAGCTGAAGCCAGGAGACCTCTTGCTTCGGAACCGCTGCGAAAGAGCCCTGAATTGCCCTCGTGTCCGGCAGTCTTGGGAAGGAAGGGAAAGTCTGCAGTGAGCACTGCTGCTTGAAACAGGACTGTGTGAACTGCAGCAGCACAAGGCAGCGCTGCCCTCCTGCACCATCCACCCTGGACACATCTCTTGAGCCAGAGGGAAGGAGGCAACCAAGGTGTGGAAAAGGATGTGCATCACTCGTGGATTACCATGCCTCAAATGGACATCTGAACCAGAATGCAGCCCAAGGGGACCATGGCAGGATCTGAGGTTTAATGGCAGAGATTTAGGCTCTCAAAGGAATCTGTGAAGTGACACGTGGTGGGGATCATGTCCTGTTTCAGTCTCTTCCTCAGCCAGAGACCAAAGCCCTCAGTGAGGTGGGTTTTCAGACAGATTAAATGAAGCTAATGGAGTTAACAGGCTTCCTAGAGAGGTGCCCAATGTCCCAAACCTCTCAAGGTTTAAGAAGCATTTGGATATAATGATAATTAGGACAGAATTAATAATTTGCTTTAACAAAATCCTGAATTGGTCAGGAGATTGGACAGGATGATTGCTGCAGGTCCTTTAGAGCTGAAATATTCTATTCTATTCTATTCTATTCTATTCTATTCTATTCTATTCTATTCTATTCTATTCTATTCTATTCTATCGGAGTTAACAGGCTTCCTAGAGAGATGGCCAATGTCCCAAACCTCTCAGGGTTTAAGAAGCATTTGGATATAAGATAATTAGGACAGAATTAATAATTTGCTTTAACAAAATCCTGAATTGGTCAGGAGATTGGACAGGATGATTGCTGCAGGTCCTTTAGAGCTGAAATATTCTATTCTATTCTATTCTATTCTATTCTATTCTATTCTATTCTATTCTATTTTCAGTTCTCTTTGCACCCATTTGCTGACACAGGGGTCTCATGGTACAGCCAGAAATCAGCTATAGTTCCATAAAAGCTGCTGTGGCATGTGACAAATACCACCCAGAGGGCACCAACACCAGTCAGAGCCAGAGCATCCCTCTCCTTACCCTCACAACAGTCCTGCCACAGGCGGAGGTCCACGGCAGGAATCTCCTCACAGCTGACCATGCCCTGCAGGTATGATGCCACCTGGAACACATCTCTCTGCAGCTGCTGGATGTGGTCACTGTTGTCACAGATGACACGAGCCAGGGACGCCTGTCTGATCTGAGTCAGCTGCGCCGGCGTGAACACTCCGGGGTTCTCATACCAAAATCTGCAGTGGGGTGTAATCACAGCATGACTCAGGAGTGGGAGAGGAGGGAGGGAGGGAGGGAGTGAGTGAGTGAGTGAGTGAGTGAGTGAGTGAGGCTGGGAGAGGAAGATGAGCTCTCTGACATCTGTGTGGCAGCACCCACACCCCTCAAAATGAGCGTCTGCTCTGGTGTCAGGTGGCTGCAAACACAGATGGCTTTTTCTGAACCCACAAATCCCCGCGCTCCTGCCCTAAGTGCATCACCAGGCAAAAGAGTCTTGTTCACACAAGCAGCAAACAGGGATTAGAAATAAGTTCCTGTGGACATTTTCTAGGATTTTCATGAGATATTGGGAACATCCTCAATGATTCCCAGTGCTCTGCAGTGAAATGAGAATCATTAAATCAAGAAAGGACACCTTGACAGTAACTGTGATAGGTGTTCTTGCAAATACACTGGACAGAGAACACTGTTCCTCATATCATAAGACAATAAATAAGAAAAAATTACAGATTCTGCTTCTTCCTGTAAGGCAAAAACCTCCCAAAGAGAATACCAAAGCATTTGGGATGATTCTGATGGCAATACCTGTCTCCATCCCTCAGCCTTCTGAACTGAGTTGTTAACAGGCACATCAGTGTTGGTCCCACTCTGGTCCCAGGGACAAGATCCTCCACCATAAGTGCTGGAAACAGGTCAATATTTTTGGTAGTTCCATATAAACTGCAGGATAACAGATATTAAAAAAAAAATAATTAAGAGGCTCTCAAAGAGTGGTGGTAATATAAATCTGATACCAACATAGAAATTTGTATGTCAGGAACTCATCTGGACAATGTTTTTAATGGTTTTATCTAAAAGACAATAGGATAAAGACCTGCCTTGGAAGAGGCAGACAGGGCAGATAGGACGCAGTTTAATCTGACTGGAAAATAGCTCCAAGGCTCAATCTGCTCCCAAACTACACCACAGCAGTGCCTGACAACATTCCACCCAAAACCAGACTGATCACTTGGAGAAACTTCATTTGTCTAACCTCATTGTTAAACCATAGTAATTACCCTATCTTAACATCTGGGGGGGGCAGTATCTGGGAAGGTTATTCCATGGGTGTACTGGAAGAAGCAGGAACTTTTCACTGACTTGTCTCCAGTAATTTTGATCCTTCCACATCCAGGCTACAATACCTCCTGAGCTTTTCTCTGATCTCCAAGTTCTTTATCTCATTTCGGAGGTCCTCAAACTCCTGTGCTGAGGAGAGGTTGCAGAAGACCCTGAAGTCGTTGTAGGGTGGGATGCCATGGTCTCGCCCTCTCTGGATGTTGATAGCAGCCAAGTCCAGTGACACAGAGTGTGCCATGGAGAACAGCTTCTCTGTCAGCTCCATGTTGAGGAGTTCAGAGGGCACCCGCATTTTCCCAGGAACCCCAAACAGCCCACGGAGGAGAGGGTCAATTCCCCCTTCCTGCATGATCCTGAAAGGGGAGAAGAAGGCCTTGTGCAGGGGGACGTGGCCTTGTCGGATGGGCTGGAAGGTCTCGTTCAGCCGGTACAGGATGGGGTTGATCAAGGTGTGCCCAAAGCGGAAAGCGGCCGTGGCAAAGGCGTTGAGAATCCCCGCGTTGACGTTGGGGTTGTAGCCTTTGTACTCACCCAGCATCTTCATCCCCGCCTCCCCGAGGACCTTGGGCAGCCACTGGGCGTAGGTGATGTGCTGCATCTGGGCACCCACAATCTTCCGTGCCTCGTGGTACAGGAGGTCCCCGTCCCAGTGCGGGTTGAGGGCGGCCAGCTCGGTGGCAACGCGGTTGTGCTCCCTGAACCACAGCGTGTGCATGGCCGTGAGCCCCAGCTGCTCGTTGGCACGGTGGTCTCCTGCCAGGAAGCAGGGCACGGGGCTCTCATTCTCATCCCTCATGCACTCCGTGGGTGGCCCCACGGCAAAGGGAAGGAGGTGCTTCCCCGAGCTGGGCACAACTTGCCCTCGCTTCAGCAGCCCTTTCTGGCCGCTCAGATCCCGCAGCTCCCGCGATTCCTGCTCCGTGCTGCCGTAAACGTTGGAGGCGTCGATGTAGGATGTCAGGTGGTTGATCTGCTCCCTGGCATAGACAGAGTTCATCAGCAGGGAGGTCATCCCGCTGCCACACACGGGGCTGGAGCGCACAAAGAACATGCAGCGCCCGTTCCGCACGCGGGGGTCGTTGGCAGGGACAGTGATGGAGAAGCAGGGAGGGTCGTTGGTGCACACCTCGCTGCAAGGGGCTCCGTCTGAGAAACGGGACATGCTGATGGCTGCCACCGTCTGGTCCATGTCGTGGTCCAGGAACTGGCCCCACTGCATGAGCATGTGTGTGAACTGGTCATCGGGGGTGATGGTCTCGGTCCCGATCATGGCAGTGGACACAAGGCGAGGTAGAGGAAGGGGCAGATCCCTGGCATCTTCCGCCAAGGAAAACCCTCGGGGCAGGTTAAATCCATTCTGGTAGGCAGGTTTGAGGAGCCTCTGGAAGGCTGTGAGGGATGCACCCCACATGGGGTGCTGGAGGTTGTTACAAGAGCCGTCGTGGGTTCTGTACTTCTTGTGGAAGCAGATGTCGGAGCAGTTGGGCGTGCGGCGGTGCGCGGAGCAGCCCGACAGGTTGGCAATCATGGTCAGGTAGTGAGGGGACACCAGGTCATTGTAGCGATAGCCTGCAGAGGGAAGGGCACAGCACCAGGTCAGGCACCACCTGCAGCCTCCTGATTCCCACTGTCCCATGGAACAGCTCTGTGTGAGAACCCCTGTCGGGATGGGCATGGGACGGCCGCGTCTCTGAGCGTGGTGTTGCTGTGGAATTTATGGGAAGCAAAGGAAGCACAGGATCACATCAGCCCCACAAAGCAAAAAAGAAAGGGAAAAGAGTTTAACTGCACAGAGCTGGAGACCAGAAATGTTGTGACTGGCAGAGCAAACTGTGGGGGTGGTCTTGGTCCCTATTCTAGGTTTATTTTATGGCTCCCTGGGTTATTGCTGCCACCACGAGCTCCATCACCCACCCAAGCTCTACGTGACGAGCAGCAGGAAGCCGTGGGTGACTGCCAGGGCACTGCTGGGCCGTGTGAAAGCGCTGAATGATGCTGCATTGTGTGGATGCTGACAGGGCAATGAGGAGGAAAGGCTGGCAGTCCAACCAGCCCAGACCAGACCTGCCGCCTGGAGAGAGACTCCTCGCAACCTGGAATACATCCAGGCAGGAAAAAATATTTACAGGCTCCAAACACACATGCCTGCTATATGATGAATCACACATATAGGTAGAAGCACACAGTGTACAGGAATGTTTATTGTATATCAAGGAAGTGCTGGGTAGGAAGTTTTGGGGTCCAGCTGCTGCATGACTCAATCTCATTAGGTATTTTTAGTGTTACACTGCTTTGTTGTTTGCTATCTTCCCCCAACAGAAGGAACCTGAGTTGCTGGGACTTACCGAGTTTGTAGCTAAGAGGTCAAAGTAGCAGACACAGAAAAGGGATATCCCACTTCCTCTGTAACAGCACCCAAATACCTCAGAGTTCACAGCACTGTTCTCATTGCTGTCTGGAGGGCAGGAAACATCTCAGACCACGCTGTTGAGGGTCTGAACTTCAGATCCACAAGGATACTCCTTTATCAGTTAGATGGCTAATATATTTGTAAGGAATAGGGCTTTTATAACCCTCTAAGAAACCTTTACCAAAATAGGGAATTAAAATATTTTCCTGCGTATCAAATTGGTTCACTGAATGTAAGACCAGTCCTTCAGCTCTTTAAAGAAACATGAGATAAAGAATTGCTACCCAGACAACACATTTCTTGACATGTCCAACATTTATCTGGATTTTTGATATACCACTGCACAGTTTAAACTTCCTGGATGTATACACATCATTGTTTTCATTTCATGCTGTGCACAAAATTAAGAAGGGAAATGAAATCTCTCCTACCTGTGACATTCATGTCCACAATCAGCCCTTGCTGCACGTGCTCCTGAATCAGCTGCAGGGTCCTTTCAAAGATCTCCCCTGCCCTGGCTGTCTCGATGGTGTAGGGGTCCCTCGGGTAGCGGAACAGAGCCAGGAGGTCATTGGGAGTCTTGGGGCGCCTATTTCCAGGAATTAAAAGTGATGCAGGATCATTAAAATTAACCAACTCTGCCCAGGGCAGTGAGACCCTACAAGCAGCAAGAGTCAGGCTCTAAGCTGGTCTAGTGCTTGGCCCCCAAATTAGTGCATAAGACCAACGTGGCATGCCCGCACATTGCAGATGATTAAAGAAAGGATATTTTTCCCCAGGAAAATGCACATATTTAATTCCCTCAGTTTCTCTGGGCTTTTTTCTGCTATAGCAATTTATTTTTTCACTTTTCAACAGCTGAAACCCAGAGGGTTTCTGGCTTAATACAAACTATCCATCCTTCCAATAAAAACATATATTGGGGTAGAAAAGGACTGAATCATATTCACTCAAGAATTTATTTTTTATTGAGGAAATGGTTGGAATTTTTATATTATTGTTTCTGTACACCCTCCACAAAGTCAGTTGCATCCATAAAATTACTACTTTGATTATTTTCCTTTTGATTCACTATCTCCACAACCAACTCCAGCTGACAAAACGCAGATATAAGTGACATAAGAGATGATGCTCATGTATCTCACTTTTCCAGAATCCCAAATCTGTTGGGAAGCTCTGTCACATCCTACATGGTGCAGCTTCAACCTCCAGCACTCGAACAATCCTGCAGCTTTCCTCTGCGGACTGCCAGTGCTAAAATGAGCTTTGAGAAAGCTTCATTTTTTGAGGGATTTTATCACTTTTCTGCCTCAGGCCTCAGCTCCAGGCCCTTCCCTTCACACTTACTTGCTGAAGAGCTCGGTACGTGTGGAGTTGATGGCGTGGTCCACGCTGCTGATGGCCTCGCGCAGCGACGTGGCCACAAACGTGTCCCCGCTCCGACCCACGTCCGTGGCTGCCCAAAGCACAAACAAACAGCAAAACACCCTCAATATTAATAGCTTAATAAATGCTTCAATATTAATTAGCCCTCCCACTCATGAAAATCTGCACAGCAGCACCAGCTCCAGCTCCAGTCACCTCACTGCAGAACAAACCGCGTTTCCGTTTCTAATATAAACACCCTGAATTTTTTTTTTTATAAGAGAGATATTCTGAAGAATGCGAACTGCCTGCAAAAGGAGGTGACATTTTCAGGAGATATCTGTGGGCACACATTCAGAGCTTTCTCACATACAGTTTTGGAAAAAATAAGGCCTGTTTTGGTTAGTAGCTAAACTGCAAAAAGAAAAAGTAAAAATCACAGTGGGTTAATCCAAAATAATATATTTGCTTCCCACATAGGTACTTCTCAAATTAATGAAATGAATTTAAATATATTGCTCTTATATTAATTTTCTGTTTGTGGAAGACTTTATTAATTATTGTTAGTATTTAATAGATTATTTATTGTAATAATAGTTCAAACTTAGTGTTAACACATTTGCTACATCATTTTAGATAAAAATACCGTTGTTGGACTACCTTCAGAAGCAAAGACATCACTTCTTTAAACTTACTCCAGGATGCATTTTTAAGCCAGGGCCTTTGTCACAGCTGAACAAACCAGTTCCCAGTTGGCTACTGGTGTATGCTACAGCCAGCTGGTGAATGAGGCATCAATCAAGAAAACCACAGAAATTATCTCAGGAATTATTTGAAACAACAAAGACATTTCTGACCATTTTCAGCTCCTTGCTTACAGCCCCTGTATGGAAAATGTTACTAAATTCATCTAATAAGCGACTCACTATCTACTGTGGTTATTGCTGGAACAGCTCTTTACTTATATTTTAAAATTTTTTGTTTGCCTTTGATTTCTTTTCTCCTTCGCCAGTTTTCTTACCCTCTAAGAGGTACAATTTCCACTCCTGACCTCTGGTTTGACCAGCAGAGGAGAGCTACTCCTCCTTGTTCATTACAGCTTCCCTAAGGCACAGAGCAGGAGATTGAAAACCAGACCTAGTTCCCATTCCCAAGAGTGGTGCACAGTCTAAGGTTGGACTTGATGATCCCGAAGGTCTTTTCCAGCCTTACTGATTCTGTGATGAGCATATGATTCTGTGTGTGAGCAGACATTTACAGCCCTGTATTTGCAGTGACAATGTTGTTCTGCTCCTCCCTTCCCCTGCGTGCGAGGTTTTGGTCAGATAATGATTTGTGAGCACATTGGCACATCTTAATAAGTTTCTCCCTCCCAGCAGAGGCAATAACTACACGGACACTGACAGCTGGGCTTGCAGGAGGAGGTTTAAAACAACACCTTTAGCTTTGCAGGGAGCAACTTCAGCTCAGCTGAGCAAACAGCGAGGGGCAGCTGGGAGGTGCGTGGGCTTTCACAAAAAGGTGACTCTGATCTAAAGGACCTGTCTGCAAAGAAGCTGAAGAAACAATTTCTTACATAATCATCTGCTCAAAGCGTAGCTGTCAACAGAGCTCAGCAGGTCCTTGCAAGGGGGCCAGAGAAGGCCTGGGGGGGAGATACGGTACCGGTGATGGTGAGCTGCATGGCGCTCGAGGTGAAGCCAAAGGGGTTCCTTGCTATGCACTCGTATCTGCCCTGGTCTGCCACACCCAGGTCCTGAATGGAGAGGGTCCCATCCTGGCTGATGTGGAACTTGCCACTCTCTGTGATCTGGATGCCCTCCTGTTGCACCATCAAAAGACAGAAGCTGTGTCAGAGCACGGAGAGCTTCCCACCAGCCCAGCCCTCAGCCTGCTCAGCAAACCCAGGGATGGATGTGATGAACAAATGTGGCCACCAGATGTTAGCATTGCTCTTCCAGAGAAACCAGAGAGGAGTCCAAAGACACCTGTTCCTGATGGGTCCCTGCTGAGCTCCGTCCCCTGGCCTGGCCCAGGTCATCCCCACAGGATACCCCACAGGACACCCCACAAAGACAGGCTGGCTGGAACTATTCCCAGGCCCTGATGTTCCCACAGAAGTTTCATGGCACAGAATTAAGCTGAAATGTTTTCAGTTGGTTTTTTTTGTTTTTTTGGTTGTGTTTTTTTTTTTTTTTTTTTTTTTTTTGGGGTTTTTTTTTTTGTTTTTTTTTTTTTTTTTTGGGTTTTTTTTTTTTTTTTTTTTTTTTTGGGGTTTTTTTTTTTGTTTTTTTTTTTTTTTTTTGGGTTTTTTTTTTTTTTTTTTTTTTTTTGGGGTTTTTTTTTTTGTTTTTTTTTTTTTTTTTTGGGTTTTTTTTTTTTTTTTTTTTTTTTTGGGGTTTTTTTTTTTGTTTTTTTTTTTTTTTTTTGGGTTTTTTTGCCAGCCTGAAACTGATGGATTTTTGCTGGCCTCGACCTGCAAATCCCAGTTTTTGCTGGCTCTAACAGCATCACTCAAACCCAAACTCTCAGCCTGGCTGATGGCAGATGTAACTTTAGGTTTTAGTTTTTTTGTTCTCCTTCTTCTTAACATCTTTCTACTGCCCTGCCACAACCTAAAGCTTGCTCTGCTGCCCTCTCAGGGCCTTTCCTTCTGCTCCCACTGCTGGTTGAGCCCACAGAAAGCTGCAAAGAAAGAAAGCTGGTTCACCTCCCACCGGAATTTTGTGGGGTAAGTGTGGCTCAAGCATTTTCTGTGCCTGACTGTGCTCAAAGGCAGGGCAGGTAACAAGGAAAGTCCCATGTGTTGTACTACAAAATAGCAGGAAAAAAGTGAGAAGAACTTAAGCTAATAAATTTTTGGAAAGAGCCACCAGGCTGCTGTGTGGTTTTGAGGGATCAAGGCTTTGCTCCATAATCCCTCAACTGGAGCCAACAAGGATCATCCAATACCATCAGCAGGAATCCTGGATATAAGGAAAAACTACTTAGGAAAAAAATCAGTTTTCAGGGTTGGTTTTTTTTTTTTTTCTTCCAGGGATGGTCAATCAAGTATTTATAACATCTTGGAATGTCACTGGCTTCAAGTAACTCTTTTGGAAGGAAGAACAGGAGAATATTTGCTGCAAGGCTTTGAGCCTGAGAAACTGCAATGCTCTCTTAAAAACCCCAAATCAGTGGATACATTGGTTTTTATCCATCTGTATTGCAAAACTAATGAAACTGGAAGAGGTGTTGAAGGAGTAAATTATTTGATTCTCCCCCAGAGGAGCTGTCCCTCTCTCCAGTGATGTGAAATCACCACGTACCTTGACCCAGGTGATGGTGGGCCGAGGGTCTCCCTGGGCAGTGCAGGAAATGGAAACGTCCTGGCCTGTCTCTGCCACCAGGTCTTGGGGGGGATGGAGGAACACGGGGATCACTGTGCAACACAGGGAAAAAAAGTCACTGGGGTGAAAAATGCACCAAGGAAAATAGAGAAATCTGTGTGTAAATAAACATCTCAGCATGGGGAATGCAGAGCTGCTGTTCTTGCAAGGGCTCAGCACATGGGTAGCAGCAGCTCACCCTGTGCTCTCTGTCTCGCTACCAAGCTCTCTGTTCATAAATTTATGTAATTTATGTTCATTATTTTCTGCTCCTCTGCATCTCTACTTGGGGCAATTACACAGGAATGTGCTGCACCATTAAAAATCCTTAATTCAAAGGCTTTCTTGAAAAGATGCTCCAGCTGAAACAGGGATCATGACTTGCTTCAGGAATTATCAGATGAGGGTCTCTCGAAGAGTTAGTCAGGCCAGATTAGTTAATTATATTGATCTTGCTGGTCTTAAAACCAATATAATTGTGTGTTCTCTGCTTGAAGCTTCACTAATTTCATGCTTCTAGAGAGTTTCCTTCCCTCCAGTCTGCCATTAGTAAAACACTGCCCTGTTCGTGAACAAGAAGGGAAGTTTGCTTATTTAGAAGAATAATTTATAAGGAAAAAAAAATCAGAAAATTAAGCAAAAGCTTTAAAAAAAAAAAGAAAAAAAGAAATTAAGCAAAAGCATCCCTGTATGACTTGTGTTTTACAGAGTCTTGATTTTAGAAAACCTAAATTTAGATTGAACCTATGACCTGGTAGGGAATGTTTAAGACAAATGTATCAAGAGCCGGAGTTTAATGTTTGCTAGAAGGAAGCATTATGTTTTACAGAATGTTTTGTTAGAAAAATAATTTTGGAATTAATTCTATAGGAAACACAAAATTTTAAAATTGTAAAATATATATATATTAGTAAGAATTTAATTCATACACTTTTTTTGCTAATTATCCAGTTTTTCCTTTACCAAAGTGATTTTCTTGATGACAACTCCCAGACTGCAGCAGTTTATTCCAATTTACAAACCTCAGCACTCGGGAAACCTCTCCCACATTTCCCACCAGCTGATGGAGCCCTTGTGTTCGGATGTCTGCTCCCAGGGAAGAGCAAAATCCCACCCTAATGGAAAGGGGGCAGCTCCCTGCCTGCTCAGATGGTTATTTACTATCTGTTTCTTGAGGTTGGGATTGAAAAAAAAAGAAAAAAGAAATTAAGCAAAAGCATCCATGTGTGACTTGTGTTTTACAGAGTCTTGATTTTAGAAAACCTAAATTTAGATTGAACCTATGACCTGGTAGGGAATGTTTAAGACAAATGTATCAAGAGCCGGAGTTTAATGTTTGCTAGAAGGAAGCATTATGTTTTACAGAATGTTTTGTTAGAAAAATAATTTTGGAATTAATTCTATAGGAAACACAAAATTTTAAAATTGTAAAATATATATATATTAGTAAGAATTTAATTCATACACTTTTTTTGCTAATTATCCAGTTTTTCCTTTACCAAAGTGATTTTCTTGATGACAACTCCCAGACTGCAGCAGTTTATTCCAATTTACAAACCTCAGCACTCGGGAAACCTCTCCCACATTTCCCACCAGCTGATGGAGCCCTTGTGTTCGGATGTCTGCTCCCAGGGAAGAGCAAAATCCCACCCTAATGGAAAGGGGGCAGCTCCCTGCCTGCTCAGATGGTTATTTACTATCTGTTTCTTGAGGTTGGGATTGAAGGCACGTGAGACAGTATTTCATGTTCAGACTCAGGTGTTTATTATTTCTTACCAGTGAAACAGCCTCACAACCATGAGTTCTGCAGCCCTTCATTAGAAGGCACAGAATGGCTAACTATGCCTTGTTACAAGGTCTTTTAAGATTAAACTATCCAATTAAGAAGTGACACCTAGATTATTTTCCCTTTTAACCCAATAACTGATCCCTCCAAGCCTGCAATGCGGACTTTTCTGTCCAATTACAAAACATCACCCAAAGCCACGAAGAAGAAGGAAGACGAAGGTGAAGAAGAACAGCCTGTCTCTGCCTTAAAACCTCCATCTTGCTTCATATTTATTTCTACAACTCCAAACTCTGAGTTTTCCACCCTGTGATATTACACACTTCTAACCAACTCCACAACCATAACCCAGTGCTATCAATCAATTTTGGAAGCCTTCTCCACTGCCTCAGGCCAAATGCAGTGTTCTCTTGCGGGTCTGTGCCTTTAACCACAGAAAGTTTAAAATTCTCAGGGCTCCAACAATTTCCCACAAAACCAAACCAACACCACGCCTCTGCCAGCCCAGCTCACCTCGCGGGGTCACGGAGAGCTGCACCGGGAGCGTCCTGACGCCGATGGCGCTGATGGCGTGGCACTCGTACTGCCCGTGGTCGTGCAGGGCCACCCGTCCCACCCGCAGGGTGCCCGTGGCCAGCACGCTGTGCCTCCGGTCACTCGGCAAGGGCCCACCTGGGTGATCAAGCAGCTCGTTAATTCCCTCATCCCATTGATGCCAAAAGGGTTTTTGCGTGTTCTTCGTATCTTGCGGTTTTTGTGTGTTCTTCGTATCTGTGGCTCTGGGCTGTTGTTGGATAGTTATAAAGTTTCCTAACTCCAGAGCTTTTCCTGTCAGACAAACAAGTTCCTGAAGGCTGTTTCTGATCTTGCTTTTTACGGGAATCAAGGACAAGACACCTTCCCAAGACACTTTCTCGTGTATTAGACATGGACAACTAGCAGGGAGGGAGGCTTCACAAGGGGTTGAACCAAGAGGGAGAATGACTTCATTGCCTGTGTTTCTAACTGGGCATTCTTGTCAATTATGCAAATTTGCTGAATTTATATAACTGTACTTGCCCTGTGTCACATGTGCTTTGACATGTGTGCATTTTCAGCACATTTTCAGCATGTAATTTGCCATATTTGCACCTGGACACGTCCAATTAAAGACCTGCCTTTATATTATTTCCTATTGTCACAAAAGTGTTTTGTGCTGTTACTAGATTTTGAAGGCATCACCACCACTGGAGGGGTCTGTGTGATAGTCACACATTTAATTTCCTTCCCAGCATCAATCACCCTGAAATACCACCTTTACACACTGAGTTGTCTTGTCTGATCAGCTGAGAAGAGCTGGAACCCTTTTTCTTTCCTCCTAAGTATTTTCTTAGTGCAACCTGCAGATTTTTTTTGACCCTTGATGGATAGTAAATCACTCTTCAATTATCAAAAGTCTCTGTTTCATCAAATCAATGGGAACATTTGGCATTATCATTCTAAATTTGTTGGTCTGATTTTTTTAGTTTGGAAACAGTTGTTTCAATATCTTCCCTATTTCAGAAGAAAAGCTGAAAACTAAACTGCTTTAACAAATCTAAATAAAATTATCCAAATTTTTCAGGCTAGCAATTTTTTTTTTAATATACTCAATTTTCCATTTATTCATCCTCTCCATATTCATCCCAAATACCAAAACGCTCCATACTCTCAAAGCTCATCTCAATGCTCCCCTCCTCTTGTCTTGCCTTCAGCATGTGAAAGCACTGTAAATCTTCATTGGTTTTTTATTTATGGAGTGCTGAGTGCAAACCTGGTTACAAAGCAGTTATGAACCTCACTTCTTGTCACCGTGCTTCTTTCCATGTGCCTAAGATATATTTTCTGAGAATTGGAGGAAAACAGGGTAAAGGAGATGGAGAACATGCTGGCAGAGCAGAATTTCAGCTGGTCCTTCTTAACTCCGCGTCAGGGCCTTTGCTGTGGAAGCTGGAACACAATACCCACAAAATCTCCACAGCCCTAAACCATTAATTATGGCTTGTGAAGCATAAGGAAAAGTTGGAGGACCTCTGGGCCAAGCATTATTGGCTTCTGTCCCAGAAAGTGTTGGATGAGATCAGCTCAGTGGAGCCAGCATTAACAATTATTTGAGACTTTAAAAGTTCACCACCACCTGTTGTCCCAAAATCTTCTTTCTTAAGCTATGAGAAAACTCTGAGGTGTGCCAGTGAAAGGTGTCCTTCTGCAACGTGCTGCACAAGGGCAGCAAATCAAGGACAATGACACAGACCTGGCACATGGTGGTACTGCAGAAGGAAGTGGTGGAATCATCATCCCCAGAAATGTTAAAAAAAAGTGTAGATTTGGCATTTAGGGACACGGTTTAGTAGTGAACATGGCAGTGTTGGGTTAAGGACTGGAATTCGTGATCTTAGAGGTCTTTTCCCACTCAAACAATTCTGTGATTGATATCCACTGATTTGGAGGTTCCAGAGCTTGCCTTTTCGGAGGAGGTGGGAAGCCACTGCAGGAAGAAGTCTGATGCTTTCCATGGGTTTCATGCTGATGAAAACCATCACACTCCTTCCTTGTGACAGAGACCCAAGATGCTCTTTCCTCAGTGCTTAACACCACCCTTGGTGATCTACATCACATCTCCTCGTGGGACTGGTCTGTTCTGGTCACAACTTGTCCTGTGCCACCACTGCAAGCCACCACCCTGGGCCAGCTGCTCAGCTGTTCCCACCTACACCCTGTGGATGATGGCATGGAGAGAGAAGCCACAAGTCAAGTGAGGCAGTACCTGCCCTTGTCCAGGTAATCACTGGGGGAGGGTGACCCTCAGCAGAGCAGGGGAAATCCACACTTTGTCCCTCAGTTACTGTCTGATCCGTGGGAATGACGAGAAACCTGGGAGAATCTGGAAGGGAGAGCAATGACTGAGCAGCAGGAAACACTCAGGCAGCAAACTCCGGGAGTTCATGGGAGTAGAACCAGTCACAAGACTCAAATACACCCCACTGACCAAAGACCGTGTCCCAGAAATGTCCCAGAACCCTCAGAGGATCAGCGTGGGAGCCCTCACCTTGCACGATGATCCTTGCTGTGGCCTGGATGGATCCCTCGGAGTTGCTGGCATTGCAGTTGTACTGCCCCTGGTCCGAGAAGGTGACATTCTGGATGAAGAGCCCTCCAGAGCTGGTGATGGTGAAACGGGAATCCTGTGGCAGAGGAGAGCCCGTGCCAAGGGTCCAGCTGATGCGAGGGTGGGGGTGCCCAGAGACCCCACACTCCAGGGTGACACTTTCCCCAACCAGTACTTCAGTGTTCTGTGGCTGGATCACAAAAGTGGGCTTGGCTGCAAGGAAAGGAGAGCTTTGGGAACCAGCTCTGCTGCCTGCTCACTGATGGGCAGAAGTTGCTCAGATTCCTCTGCAACCCAGCAACCCACCCTGGTTCTTCCCTGACATCCAAACCCTCACTGTGAGCAATGTCCCCAGCATCTTCCTACCACCTCCTCACACCCACTCACGCAGTGCTGGAGCATCCCCACTCCCATGTCCCCTTCACCCTTGTGCTGCAGAATTCATCCCAGACTTCAAACTCCCTCCCCAGTCCCAAATTACCTTCAATCCCTAAATACCCCTTTTCCCATTCCAGTAGGAGCCCCTGAAGCTCAGGTCTTGCTTGGCTGCCTTCACTCTCTCCCCCAGCACACCAAGAACTTCTTGGCACATACAAAGCTGGGACTGACTCTGATTTAGCTCCATTCCCATCCCCAACCCCCTGGGTCATAAAGGGGTGCACAAAGCTCAATTACATGGGGTGCCAAAATAGCGCAGCACGACTTCCTGTGTCTTGACCTCCCCAGCAATGTTCTTGGCCATGCACTGGTAGACGCCTTTGTCCGACTCCTTGGTGTTCTGGATCATCAAGGTACCATCTTGCAACAGGTTCAGGCGGTTGTCATCTTTCATGTCAATCTTATTACTGAAAAAACAGCCACAAACAGGCAAAATCTGAAAGGAATAAAGACTGGTGGTCCCCCCCGGGGGGATGTGGGGGCTTTGCATGGCTGTAAGTTGGTGTTTCTTGGAGCTATTCTGAGATTTCATGAAATGTGCAGCAAGAGTTCTGATTCACAGCACTGAAGTGCAGCTCCAGTTCTGATTTACTCCCTGGGTGAGCTGCTTTTTCTCTCCCCACTGATTACACAGGACATTTACAGCCCATCAGGAGAGCACTCTGTTCCCATGTCACAGCATTGCTGCATTGTCAGGGCGCCCTGGCCCGGAAAGCCTGTTCTCCTTACTCACTAAGTGCAAATTTAACAATGAATTAATATTGCTCTTGTGTGCAGCCAGTGCTATTCAAACTCCAGACTCAAAGGCCTGAGAGGAGCAAAAAGCTCTGAGAAGTCACCATGGGACCCCAACACAGCTTGGAGTCCAACCCAGCCCGAGAGCTGTGAAACATCTTCCTTCTTTCTGCAATGACCTGCGACTCCTGGATCCCAGCCCGTGGCAGAAGGTCCCAGTGCTGCAGCCCATTTGTCCCAGCACGAAGGAATCTTGGATGGTTGCAGATGATGGAAAGGGAAGAAGGGACCTCTCTCCCCCCAGGACAAAGGCTGAACCCACTATGCAATCTAATCTGCTTGCTGGGCATTTATTTAATTCCCCTGGTGTCTCCTCTCTCCAGCCATATCTCGTTTGTTGAGCATTTATTATCATTATCCTTCTTACAATGCTGTCTTTGGGAGCCTGCCAGCATTTCCCTAACAAAACCTTCCTTCCAAAGGGACTTAACTCAGCCATAAACTTTTGCTCTGGGCTGAAACTCTGCCTGGTGGGGGGATTGCTGAAGAAGCACACATTGATCATTTTTTATTAATAACCGAGCCCTGCTCAGGCTTCACCAGACAAGAAGCTCATAAAGCAGCAAGGCAGCTTCACTTCCACAGTGGGCACAGAATATTTTATTGTGCAGAATTTCCCAGAACACTTTGGCATCTAGCACATAACCTATATGCAAATTTGCAAATTCTGTCCTTCAGTGGAGCACAGCAATTTTTCCCTTTGGAAAGAAACCTCATACCTAGCACGATCAGCCTTTAGTGAGAAGCATTTCAGCAGTTAACAAATGGCAAGCATGGTGGCTGAGAGCAACATGAAACTCTAATTTTATTTTTTTCCTGATCAAAAGACAACTGCTTTCAGCCTGCAGAGTATGTTTATAGGAAAGTTATAAGCTCTTGGAATCCATTACAAACACAGATGAAATATTTCAAATGCAGATGAAAACACCATTTGGATTACATGGTCACCAGAGAATGCTGTTAAAAGGAAGGTAAATATAACCCATGAAATAACCATCTCTTTTTTCTTATTTTTAATTTTTTTTAATGTTGTGTGAAACAACTTTTGTAATTACAGGCAGGCACTGAAGAGCTCAGTGCCTGAAAACCTTTGCCACCCCAGGGCTCCTTGCATGTGACTTACTTGTTGTGCAGCCAAATGATGGCAGGCTTTGGGTTTCCTTCTGCCCTGCAGGTGAAATAAACTGTGTTTCCCAGGAGCACATCGACGTCGTGGGGTTCTGAGGTTATTCGAGGCCTCTCTGCAAAACACCATTTGAACACAACCCAGTCCAAAGCAGCACAAAACCACCTGCAGCCCAGCTGGGGTATGGTGGGGCACACAACACCCATCCTGCAATGCCCCAGGAAACAGGCACAGCCCCAGGCACAGCAGCACCCACTCAGAGCCACCCCAAAACTCACTAACACCTGCAAACATCATGAAGGAATAGCATCATCCACCTGTAAAGGCCTTGGGGAATTGCTGCTGCTCCTATTCCCAGTAGTTGGGCAGTGGATCAGGTCCCACAGACCTGACTGTACAGGGGTTCATTAAAGAGCTCCCCAAAGAAGCAAATAAGTCAGTAGCATCCTCACTTGGGTTGTTTTTCTTCCCTTGGCAGCCTGCAGCTTTCTGCTCCACCTGAACACAGAGCCAGCTCCCTGCAAACCACACCACTTCCTTCCCAACAGGATTTCATTCATTATGGCCTAATTCATCATCCTATCCCTATCCAGCCAAGCCTTTCACTGTGTTCTTCACTTTGAATGTACTCAAGCACCAAGCAAGTTAAACATTGAAAGGATGTGCTAAAATAGGGAGGAATTTATGAACAAGCCCTGGAGTGCTTGAGCTTGATTCAAAAAGCTTACCCATTTCACAATCTGCATGTTCATCAGCAATCCAGTAAAACCAGCTGGGTTATTCCTAAAATTGAGAGCCTGTCACCTCCTCCAAGGGAAGGTCAGCGCCTTCACTCCTCAGACCACAAATTAATGACTCAGAAAAAATCCCCAAAGACAAACCCAGTACAGCCCAAACCCAGTACAGCCCAAGCCCAGCACAGCCCCACAGTACAAAACACTGACCCAGGGCAGATTTGCCCCTGTGGCTCACAGCTGCTCAAAGCCATGGGTTAATGGTACCAGCAGCTTTCAGACTGACTCAGATATCAGCCACCTGCATGGGCAGAGCTCTCTGCTGAACTCTGTATCATTTGTCTTCCCAGCTGGCACACCACCAGGGTGAAAGCTAAATGCCAGCAAAATCTTCCCACCAGGTGCTCTGGTAATTTGACAGACACCCCACTGTGTTTCCATGCCTAAACCAGAACAAATTTGCACTAACAGCTGTACTGTGGCACTGGGAGTGTGTTGGGGACAGCTTGCTGTGTGGCACAGCCACTCCATGTGTCCCCAGCTGCTTTCCCTAGACCCTTCCTATCCCCCCTCCCTGGAGGTCACAGACCTGTTTGTGCCAACTCAACTCTTTCCATGGCTGTGCCCCAAATTAATCTGTGAAATGGTCAAATTTTTTTTTAACAAAATAATGGAATCATAAGAGAAAAGCTGAATTCAATGGAGAGCTCTTCAAAATCCAGCTGAGCTCACAGATTTGGCTCAGAGCAGGGCCGTGCACAGCTGGACTGGCATATCCAGGGGGGATGCTAACAGCCAGCCCATGTGGGTGGGAATTTCTCAAACTGACTCTACCAGCAGCAAAGCACCATGGAACTACAGCTAATGTTTGTGCCAACCTCCATTTAAAAACCAGAGTTTTGTCTTACCTCCACTTAAAAATCAGAGATCTGTGTTTTTCTATATGAAATAATGAATTTTTAAGAATAAAACCTAATTTAAAACTCTAAGTTTAAAGAGTAACAGCCTAACAAAAGCCATCAGTTATGCCACAGTCAAACACAGCTCCATATCTATGATGCTCTCCCTCCGGTTTCCAGTTGTGTTTTCTGCCACTGCAGCTCTCCCAGTATTCCCCTTCTGCTCAGCCTGATGTGGGGTATTTCCTCTAGTTCCTGGTTTAGCCACTGGTGCAGCAGATCCTCTACCATCCCTACTCTGTGCAAGAAGCCAACACCTACATGCCAAAACAGCGCTGCCTCCAACCCCTCTGGGAATATCAGCTTCCTCCTGCAGCCCCATTGGGATTTTCCCATTTCAGCAGTGAAGGGGGGAGAAATCAGGACGCCAGCAGAGGGAAGAGGGAGGAAAAGGGCCGGAGGAAGCAGTTCCCAGCCCAAAGGGCAGCCCAGGGGCTGAGGGTGGCCCGGGGAGGGCTGTGAGCTGGCTCACCGCAGTTGAGCTCGCGGGCGGTCAGGGAGGCGATGGAGCGGCCGTGCAGGTCCCGCGGAGCCTCGCAGGTGGCAGCGCTCTGGATGCTGCCCTGCTCCGCGTGCTGCTTCAGCAGCTCTGCCAGCCACAGCAGGTCGCAGTCACACAGCAGCGAGTTGGAGTCCAGCCGCCTGCAACAGCCAGCAGAAGGCAGCTGAGCGCCCAGGCTGCAGCACTGCCTCCTTCCCAGGGTCACCCGGGTGGTTTGCCCTGCATTTGATTATATCCCAGGTGAAAATCTGAGGTGTTTCATTGCCACGATGGTTAGCTAGGATGCCTGACCAATTAGAAAGATTTAATCAAAAAACTAATATCAACCATTCCAGTTTCAAATAGAAATAATTCAGTTAAACTGGATTATGCAGTTTTGGGCTACTTGAGACACTGAAATGTTGTGTTTTACCCTGGGATGGAGGTTTCAACCTTTACTGAATTCTGTAATTCTCTTTTAGCTTTTCTCCTTTAGCTCCAAAAAACCCTCCCCTTTATTTATGCGGGTGGGATCAGACCCTTCCTATAACCAGCTGTGAGAGGTTGCAGCATTTCTACACAACTGGAAGAACTTTTACTACAGCAACACAAGCCTGAACCACAGCAAATGGAGCTGCAGTGACCTCCCAGCGCCCTCAGCCTCTTCCCTGCACTGACCTCATTCCTACAAGCAGTGCTATCCATGAGGATAAAGGACGACTACAGGGGATTAGTTTGTGCCTCCTTCCCCACTGAAAGTTTTACAGTCGGTGGGTCTGGGCCATTGTCATGGTTTTCAAAACCAGCACAGCCATCCAAAAAAAAACCAAAACAAAACAAAACAAAACAAAAAAAAAAACCCTAAACAAACAAACAAGCAAAAAAGGAAGACAAATCTAACACTTTCAGGGTCACATAATTGAGAATGTGAGATTTCATACAGGGCCATGACCGAATATTTTATAGACATCCCATCTTTTTCTCTGGCACCTACAGACAGCATTTCACAAGATATTCCCTGCTAAAGAGAAGAGAAGCATTTTACCTGCTTGCAGAAATCACTGAGGGCAGCAGTGAGAAATACATTATTTTATTGCACTTGAAAATCATGGCAGAATACCAAAATTCTTTACCTTTTGCATTTTTTTTTCCTCCCAAACACATCATAGAACTCATTTCCAGAGATCATAAAACCAAAGCAAGAAAGAAGTGAGCTTAAGAGACAGACAGGTTATGTGGGAATGGCACCCTGGGGAATTCCTGCATGGAAAGGGAATCATGCCCCTTGGCACTCCTCTGACTAATTTCAATCTAGAAAACAAGCCTTTTCTTTTATGACTATGATTTTTCTAACCATGGTAGATACTGATCTACAGACATGTTCAAGGTCGTATCCGTGACCTGGACTTTCTACATTTTTCAAGGATGTTTTATGGGTTCAAACCCTTGTGAAGACTTTCCAGGAACGTTCATTCCTGTGACATTATTAAGCTGTAAGCTGATTATAATTAGACACTAGTATAAAGAAACTTCTAACTGCTTAAATAAGCTTTCAGGTCCAATCAAAACTGTTTTATAAACTTAGCAGTGGCCTTAGAAGTGCAACAACTAAAAGCTTTGCCAACCAGGCACATTCTTCCTCAGGTCCTGCCCATCTGATTGAAGATAAACAAGTCCTCTTTGTAGGCAATATTTTTTACTTACAGGCGTTTGAGGGATTCCAGTTGAGAGAATGTCCCTGGATGAATCCTGGAAATCTTGTTGTTGTGCAAGAATCTGCAGTGGGAGAAACCATGCCAAAACATTATTCAGTATTTGCACTGTGAGGATGATGACACCTCAGGTCACAACTCAGTTTAAATGCAAAGGCCACGCATCAAAATGGAGCTCAGTGTTTAAATTCCATGTTTGTTTCCATGAGCTGGAGGGATTTCATCCCTTGGTGGGTGTGACGTAATTTGCCAGAGCCGAGAGCGGGTGTGGGCTGGAAATGGTGACTCAGGATGGGATGGAACAGGTTTGAACTGGACCCCTTCAGTCTCTCTGCACAGGGAGGAGAAAGGGCACAAAATCCCCTCAGATTGGACCCACCTTCTGTTTTCTGGGCCTGGGTCAGCTCCAGTTTAGAAGGGACCTTTTCCTTCCCCGGTGCAGATGACGTGACAATTCTACAAGGGCAGCCATTGGTGTTAGACAACCCCTGCCTTAGACTCCGTGTAGTTATTAACCCAAATCCATGAGCAAATCCAATTCAGAAAACAGCCACCTCAACTGGGCTCATCTCTGAAGAAAACTGAGGCAAATTCTCACTTCCAGAGTCTTAGCACACACATAAAACTCTCCAGTTCTTAAGGAGAAATCCTGACTGCACTAAAATGCACAATATTAGTGGGGACTAAGAGGGGATAATTAACTCCCCATTCCCATAATGATGGGGGAATTCACTTGTGTTGGTTACATCTAAAACTCATAAGAGACCATTGATGAAAGAGATGAAGCAATTTTAGTACCTGGTGGAACAGGAGAGAACACAAAAGCAGCACAGCTCGAGTGCAAATGTCTGCACACACACATGTGCACCAGAGTCCAGCCTGGTTGCCCAGCTTGGAGGCTGAAAAACCTTCCTTTAAAATTTAAATCCAGAATTTTTGTTGGATCCAATACAGTGACTGAGATCAGCCATGTACTGATCCAGGTCTGAATTTTCCTAAGGGTGTGGGATCCCACAATTTTATTTCTTTGGCATGTATGGATATAAGGCACATTTCCACACAGCCCAGGAAAGTCTGCTGGTTTCTCCATGGAGTGGGAACCACACATGGGCTGTTGTGCTGGTGGCTCCATTACTGCTAGAAGCAATCCTGGGGAGCAGGAGACTCCATTTCCTCACTGCTTTCAAGAAGGATGTGTGTTTTTCTTGTTAGACTTTCTTCTGACTTTATCCCTTTTCCACCCCCTTTTTTTAGCTCGCTCTGCCCAACAGTGACTAATGTTGCTGACCTTATACTCAGAGTAAAATTTCACTTGGCTTGACCAGCTGTAGGACTTTCTGCAGATTTACTCCTATTTAGATGGAAACCTGAACATAACATAAAATGGGAAATTCCCTTCACATCCCCAGTCACCCTCCCCCTCGGCAATTATGTAAAATTTCTTTCTTTAAAGAAGTTTCTTTTTGCATTTTGGAGACCACACTCCATGCTACCAAAACTGCTACACTAAATAAAGGGCTTTTCCCCATTCTCCTCACCCTCTTAGTCCCAAGAAATATCCCATCTTTACTCACAGCCTTTCAAGTTTAGGAAGGTCACTAAAAGTCTCCAGCTCCAGACTTTCCAGGTTGTTGAAATGCAGGTACCTATGACAGAAATCACACACAGATTGAATTTAAGAGACAGAAAATGTTCCCAGATCAACCCACCAGTGCCCCCCAGCTGGTCACCATCTCAGGGCAGGTGTGGAGAAGCCAGAATCCATGTTAGTGTCCCCAGTTACCACATGCAAACACAGTAGCCAACATGGCTTTTCTGCTAATACAGACTAATATTTTTATTTCCACTAAAATCCAAAGTGTGGCCTGCCACTCCAGAGGCCAAGGGAACCTCCTGCCTGCCCCAGGTCACCCCTTGCCATCAAGAAAAGAAATGTGCCTGCAGAGCAACTCACCACAATACCTGAGCCTCCCTGTTGCCAAGAGCTGTGACATTCACCAGCACAACTGACACATTCCTGACCTTCAGATGGATTTTTTACAGTCCCCAAATTGCCTAAACCGTTCCCCTTTATTTTACACAGGCATAAATTTCAGAGCAGACACAGATTAATCACAGATCTACAAATACTCATTCTGCTATTGTAGCTGACTGCATTGAGAAATAACTGCCTAAGCCTCCACATGGCTGCTTGATTTGTAATGGAAGGATTCATGATAAATGGTCCAGTATCAGAGAGGGTGACTCAGATTCTGCACTGGAGGGTCACAGTGGGGAAGACAGGGATGTGCTCTAATCACTCTCAGATGCCTGCTGAGATTGCTTTGGACCTTGAGGAAAGCATCTGATCCTGTCCATCACTTGGGTTATTCTTTTTCTTGAAAAGCTGGCTGGTGGGGACAGGAAAACGGGGTAGGATTTGAGCAAAGCTATTTCTTCTGGAGTTAAGCCTGCCTGGGATTGAAAACAGATGGGACTTTCAGCGGGTTGTTTGTTGGTTTTGTGGGTTTGTTGGTTTTGTTTTTTTCTTTTATTCGTGACATCAAGTCTGGAAGGCTCACTGCTGAAATATCCCTGTGGGCAGCATCAGCTCTCTGAGCTCAGCTTAGAGCCAGTTTCAGCTTCCTAAATTTTCTCCCAGGCATCCTTGCTGAGTTGGCTGATGAAAAACCACATTGTACACAAGCTTGGTGGCACACCTATTGTTAGGATTGCCTGAAATTTCCAATTATGCTCTGTCCTCTTGTGCTGTCAACCTGGAGAACAAGCTGGATCCTATTCCTTTTACAGCAAAGTCCTTGGTTTCATTCCAGCCCTATAAATGCTGCAGCTGGGAACAATTCAGGAATTAGACCAGTTTCACCTTTGGTCCCTGCTCTCCAATGACACAAGTAATTCTTGTACTTCAATTATTTAGGAAGCATAAATCATTAGGAAGGAATTGTTCCCTGTGAGGGTGGAGGGGCCCTGGCACAGGGTGCCCAGAGAAGCTGTGGCTGCCCCAGCCCTGGATGTTTCCAAGGGATTGGATGGGACTGGGAACAACCTGGGACAGTGGAAGGTGTCCCTGCCCATGGCAGGGGGTGAGATGAAATGAGCTCTAAGATCCCTTCCAAACCAAATCATTCCATGTGTCTGTGATTCAAATATCCAAGCTCACACTCTCTCCACCAGTCCCAATAAGAAAAATCCAGTCCCAGTTTAGGAAGGCACTTCAGAGGAGTCAGACCTCAGTCTGCCCATCTCACCTCAAGAGCAGTGCACTAAGAGTCAAAAACCAAAACTTTGAATAAACAGCAGAGTTTTGCCCTGCACAGAAGGGGAGCAAATGGGGACTGTTGGAGTGATGGACTCCAGCTGCCAGGAAAACACACAAGGCTCCCTCCAGCCCAGATTCAGCACAGAGTGCCACGCAGCTCGAGGGAAGTTCATGACTGTGTTTGTTTGGATCCATCATCTTCCCCCACTGCAATTTCCAGATGCTTTGCAGCACGGGAGCACCACCACCCTGGTAGCTCCCAGGAAAACTTGGCTGCCCCAGCTCCCAGCTTGCACTTCATCCTTTCATTCCCAGCAGAGCTTAGGATGAGAAACTCAACCAGCATGCTCAATTTAAGTAAAGGACCAGATCTGACTCTCTGCTCGAGGAATCCCCAGACACAAACCCAGCAGAGCCTTCTGCTCCCAGCCCTCCTGCAGACCCCTCTCTCCTCCCTCATAAGGTCCTTGGAAATAAAGGCCTTGGGAAGCACAGCTGGGTTCTTCCAATGCTCCAGAGGTTTGGGGGCAGGAGAAAACACATGGAGCACCAGCAGGAAGAGACCTCAGCACTAACTAACCAAAACCAATACTCAGAACAGCTGTTTCCAAATGAACCCAGTGTAGTCTGGCAAATCTGGATGAGAAAAGAGCAGAAGCTTCATCCTCGCCCTCGCTAAGTGCCTGCTGCTCCCCAGGCCTGGCAGCACAGCATGCAAACAAGGCTCATCTGTACTTACAGCTGCTCCAGGGAGCGGAGCCCGTGGAAGGCATGCTGCTGGATGCTCTGGATTTCATTTTTGTAAAGGTAGCTTTCAAAAGGAGAGAAAGGAAACAGCATTAGGGGAACTGATCAGCAGTTGTGTTCTAAAAAGTCACAGGAAACAGCAATGAGCCTCAACCCAAGCAGAACTTGCTGCCTGGATTCAAGGGCAAAGTTTTATACCTCTGACATTCAGCTCCAAACACACACAGTGCATCCTTGACTGGCAAATATTAAAAGCGGGTTGTTAGATTTTGAAGAGGTCAAGAAATTACTGAGCTACAAACTCACAGGTATTTCAGGTTCTCCAGATCTTCAAAGGATCTTCTCACGATTTGTTTTATCTGGTTATTGTTCAGCAGCCTGTTCAAATCAAGAAAGAAAAACACAGCTGGTGAAGTCAGCACATGTGAGATTTGTGGCATTTCTGTTCTTGGGTGCCCACTGAAAAATTGTGGGTCAAGGTGTCACAGAATTTAAGACTTAATGGGGTTAGAAAGTCAAAGTTTGAGTCCTCACACCAGCCAAGGCAGTGAGAAGGTTTCTCACCCAGAGGGGCCAAGTACTTTCCATATTGCAGTGTTCAAAGTATTTTCCTTATCTTTTGCCACAGTTTTCATCCCAAAGTGACGATTTTGTCCAGAAAAGGGATGAGGGGATGGGAGACAGGCAGAAAGAAGCAGTGGGGAGTAAGATATTACATCATTGCTGCCACTCTTGTACAACCATGATGGGTTTTGGAGGTGCCTGGTTGTGTTCAACAAGTGAGCAGAGGAGTGCAGATCCAGTTTTCAGAAGTACAAATGCAGCCTAAAACAGTTCCCAGTGGAGTTATAGGAGCCACGAAATGCTAATAGCTTTGCTCTAATCACTTTGTAACCGATACCCGCAAATGAGAAAGAAATAAATTCAACTTTGACTCCTGAGGCTGCTCAGAGACAACCTCTTTCAACCTCAGGAGCTTTGTGCCAGATTTTAATCCAAAACCTCTGGGCCACGTGGCACTGCAAAGCCGTGTGACACTTGTGTGTGCAGTTGCCATGGCTGTGTGTGCAATTGATGGCCAGTGCCAGTGACCAGAAACAGCCCAGCTCTGCAAGAGCCACGCTGTGCAGCAGTGTAACCACAGAGCTGAGCCCTGCAGGGCTCTGCTGCAGCCCCTGCCAAGCCCAACACGGAGAAAACCCAATAAATCACTTATAAATTGCTCCCTGATACACAAAGCTGAGCTGTTCCTCGTGGCTGTGGGTCCCACTGATGCTCAGGTCTGGCAAAGCTCACAGCTGGTGGAGCTGAACAGCCCAGAGCAAGGATTTCACCAGCCACCACTAATTTTTAAAATTCCTAAATGGAGCTCTGGGCAGAGAAGGAATCTGTGGCTCTGTACTGCAAAGATTTCTTTTTCAGGTGTTGTAGGAAAAACAGCAATTCCCTCTGCAAGCAGCCAAACCTTACTATGTTGGGTCACATTAAATACATGTACTGCATGTGCATTTTACAAGTTGATTTTTGCCATAGCTCTGCTCCTCAGGAAGGATCTGCCACAGGTGAGCAGATAGTTCAGCACTTTCCCTGCAGCAAAACCCAATTTTCTGCCCCACTTTTCTGGACAAAAAAGAGCATCCAGCCTCTGTCATTACAAGCCAAGGTCTTTCCTGGCCAAAACCAGTTTGTGCAGGTAAAGGATGGAGAGCAAAGACAAAGAGATGGGGAGAAAGGGTAAAAAAACTTGTGGGAAAAGAAGATGAAGGTGAAATCAAACACCTCATGGATGACAGAAGAGATAAAATATGTCAGAAGCACACACACGTGTGATGGCAGCTTCACAAGTTCTCTCCAGGCAGCTGAGCCACACCAGCTTTCCACCAGCTGTTTTTCAGGTGGAGAATTACATTCAGAGTCAGAAAAAGCATGTGAGAAACTCAAGAGCAAACAGATTTGTAAGTCAGGCAATGAGGGGTTGAGAAAACCTCATTACCCTGGATTTGACCATCCTCCCTGGACTAGCTGCCCTGGCACCACAGGTGTGGGTGCCACTGCCAGGCTGCACATGCCAGGGCTGGGCACAGGCAGCCTGAAGAGGTTAAGGCAGAGAAGGCTGGAAAGCTCCTGCCCAGCTGGCAGCAATGGCACCACACACACAGCTGAGGTCAAACAGCCCAGGCTCACTCTTAAGGATGCAAAAATGATGTCAAGTCCTTGGAACACACGATCCCGCTTTGACAGCCAGCTATGCTGAGTGGAAATACAGTCCCTGAGCACCAACCCAAAAGTTTATTTGATGACTGAACACCCCAGGGCTGGAAATGACTGCCTGAGGGCAGTGTGGGAGAGGGCTTTTGTCTGTTTGCCCACAGGACAGAGACAGCCCAGGCACCAGCCGTGCTTCCCTCCCTGCCCCATCAGCTTTCATCTCTGGCCCCAGCAGGACAAGGCAGCTCCTTCTCTGTTATCTGGGCCCTGGCCCCACTTCTGAGCACACAGTGGGCTGACAGAGGGATGCCAGCACCCCTCTGTCATTCCCATGGATGTGAGCACCTGGCACACACCTGGCATTGGCCATTTGCTTCCCAGGGGACAGTGACAATGACCTGGTGAGCAGGGTCACACCAACAGCCTGAGCAGCCCCATGCAGCAGCAGGGTCTGGAGCCTTTTGCTGATTATTATCTTTAATGCTCAGAGTTCAGACCAGGACTGATCTCCACCGGGATTTCAAATTCCATTATGTTGTCTGGCTGTGTTTTGGGGCTATTTAAAAGCATTATCCCAGTCTGTTTTGTTGTCTTGGCTATTTTGTACAGTTCAAGGGAGTGTAATCACTGACCCAGCCAAATAAGATGAATCCTGGAAGTTGAGATGGCAAGCAGCACACAGGGCTCTTATCTCATCGTCTGATACTTAAAAATTTGTTCATTGCCTGATTTAAGAATAAAAAGTGCATGGAAGAAGCCATCTCTGCTTCCTGTCTCAGGATTCCCCATTGTAATGGAAGGATAAGCCCTGGAAGACACTCGAAAGTGAGATAATGATGGAGTCCATAATAGCCCACTTATTCCAAAATGCTGCTTTCAGAGAAAACCACGGACAAGGCAGCACAGCTGGCTCCTAGAAAGAGTTTGGGTGGCTCCTGCACAGCTGTCTGCTCCTTTGCTCCTGTGCAATTCACCCAGGCAGAAAAGTGTGCAAAACACCCAAAAGTGTGCAAAATCCTGGCATGGCCCGGCTATTGGTCCCAGCTGCCATCCACAGCAAAAATGCCCAAATTCCTGCTACCCTTAGAGGGCTGAAAGCTGGGAGCCCAGATGTGCTGGGAATAAATGCTCTGGCAGACAGAGGTTGGGAAGATCATTATCTCTCTCATTATCTTAACCACACCCTGTAGCAAAACTGGCTAAATTAAAAGTATCAGAAGCACAGTAGGATGGGGCATTGCCCTTCATGCCCCATGAACTGGACTCCACATGAGTAAGAGAACTCAATCACACAGGTTTTATTCCTTTATTCCTGCCAAACTCTTCTGGGATGTTTGAGATATACAAGCAGCATGAGATCTGGCCCAGATTCACCAAGAGAACATTTTACATTCAGTTTCCTCTAGGTTTTATGTGCTGACTGCCTCTCCTTTCCCCTTCCCCACCCTCTCTCTAGGTTGCCAGGCACAGGCTTATGTTCCATTAAATGAGTGGTTTTCTGTATCGAAGAATGTATTAAATGATGTGACAGGACAGAATTCAGACTCAAACCACGTTCTCTTTCCTCTTTTCATTTGACAATCCACATGCTACAGTCATTGTGACAAAACAGCAACTTTTTTCCTCACACCATTAATAGAAATCATCACGTAGTGTACTTAGAGGGGGAGAAAAAATGGATTTTATGTTCAACCACACATTCCCCCTTGTTGACAGAATGATCTGGAATAGTTATTTCCCATATTTAAGGGAGAAACTTTTATTCTGAGATCCAAGCAGGCTCTGACATCCCCTCCTTGCTGGCAGGAACACATTCTCTCAGGAGTTACCAGAGAGTAAAAGACAGAAACTCCACACTGCTGCTCTGTTCACTCTGAGACTCTTCACCAGCAGCACCTAAAGCAGAGCTGCAGGGCTCACCAGAAGTGTTTTGCTCTCAGAAAGAGAGAAACCTGAGCAGAAAGAGAAATAAGATGTGAGCAGTGACAGGGCAGAAGGCCAGGCAGAGGCACAAGCACTGTGGCCTCCACTGAGCCCCTGTTCTCTCGGGTGCTCTTGCCTCAGGAATCCCAAAATACACACTGGGGATGTAAAGGAACTTTGGTCCCTGGCTTGGACATTTCTATGGATGGTGCTGGAGAGATCCAGGGAGCAGCAACCCTTGGCTGTGGTTTGAAAAACCAAAGGGATTGACAGGGCAGTGACTCCTGTGGGAATCACAGGGGTGTCATCATCCATCCCCTCCCAGAAATGACCTAAAGGAGCAAAAACTGGGAAGCAGGGAGAGGCTGAGCCTCACCACGGGCTCCCAGCGTTTCCTCTCTCTCCCACAGCCCAGCACCTGCTCTGAGCTAATGTTGGCTTCAGCCATGCAGCAAGTGATGGCAAACTGCAGCATAACAGCTGTCCTGGAGCTGGGGGAGCTGTGGATGGCATACAAGAGGGGTTTTGCCTTCTACTTTTCTTTTATTTTTTTTTTTTTTGGTACCAAGGGGCAATATTAAGAGTTTAAAAATACTCAGCACCATCTGCACAGATGGGAACGGGGCAGAGCCAATAGGAGGGGACAAGGAAATCTTACAACTCTCTGAGATGTTCAGCCCAAGAGAGCTTCTCCACCTGCACACAGCCCCAGGAAGGTCCCAGTGGTGCAGGATTTAGGATTACTGCTCATTACCTGTGGTGCTGCACCAGGAGTGCCCAGCTGGAAGCAAACAGTGACTGTGTCTCTTCCACAAACAAAGCTCCTGTTTTTAATGCTGAAGTAGTGCTCTGTGATTTATCAAATCTCCCTCACCAGGGGAAAGCAGAGAGGAGCCAGTGAGGGTTTGAACTGCTGAACAGCCCCACTGGACATCCACACTGTGATCAGGCTCCTGACAGGCTCTCAACCCATTTCCCTGCATCCAACACAGGCTACAAAGGTTTCCTTTTCAGGGTGGTTTATAAACTGTCAAACTTGGACACAGAACAGCTATCCTGCCCTAAAGGAGATAGAGAACAGAAGCTTCACCAGAATCTGTCACTTTCCTCTGCCATTAGTGGGAAAAGCTCTTTTAAAAACATTTATTTGCTTATGGAAGATTTATTTAAATTCAATAGCAGAAAGCTGCAAGCTCAGAGCTTTGCACATGGAACCTGAGCTATTCTATCCTCCAAACCTCTCACTTCAAATTTTCTGTACAAATTTTCCCGGGAAATCTGTCAAGCATTTTAAAGGATTTATTCTCTTTATCACTTGAAAAGCTATCTAAGTCCTCAGGCAAAATTTACCATCTAAGAAACACCAGAAAATTCTTCAGCTCTTGTCAGTTTTGATGTGGGAATTGGACAAACCAAAGTTCCTGGAGAGAAATTTCCTTCAGGAGTGTGTGGTCCAATGTTCTCTCAGTCAGTTATCAAACTCTTGAGCCGTGGGAGTTAACTACTGCAAGAGTGAGAAAAACTGAATGTTCCAGTCTGCTGGCCAGACCAGGAAATACAACTGAGTATTAAAAGTATCTATCTAAATGGAAAGGTTTCCGTGGCAAATCAGGTTGATTTTCAGAATCCAAATATAAAAATGCAGTATTTTGTTAGAGCAGTGTTTCACCTGGTCCAGCATTCCAGCTCTGACAATGGCCATGGGACACTCTTTAGGGAAAGCAGGAGTGTCTCCCCACCATCTGTGAAAACACACTGCCCTTCCTGCCCTGGCATCCCAAATCATGAGCTCAGGGGTGCCAGGACTGCCTTCCTGCCTATTCCCTCTAATATCTGCTCATGGACTTGCTGGCCTTGAGGTCTCTGCCCAGGAGAGTGTGGAGACAGAAAGGAAAAAGAGCTGGAGAATTTTGTGGAGCACAAACAGGTGTTGGAGAGAGACAGGTCCTTCTTTCTCCCTCAGCCAGGCTCTATCTGAACCTACTCTGCACAGAGTGGAGGAGTCAGAAGAAAAAGTCCTGCAGGGGTCAGAGACTTGCCTGGTCCAAGGAGCTGGCAGGGCAGGAATTGGGACCCCTCACAAAGCTCAGCAGGCTGGGTGGAGCCTCTGTCCCAGTGAAGCCCTGCCAGCATCCTCGTTTTCCCCAGGGCTCTGCTGGAGCTCTCCTGGTGGTCCTGGGAGCTGCTGCCAAACATCTGCCTGCAGCACTCTGAGATGACATCATCTGGAACCCTTTGTTTCCTCACTCAGGAGAGCTCCAGGGGTGCAGGAGCAGGGCTGGAGATCAAGAGAACTCAGCAGAGCTTTGTGATAAGACAAAACCCTACAGATTTGGACTCTGTTATCTCTCTAGATAGTTTTTTTTTCTCATTTCCCACTGTATCTGACCCTATCTCAAATGACAGAAATCCATCCAAAGCAACCTTTTTCCCCTATTATTTTTGGCAACTAAGTAGCACACAGTGCTGTTTGAGAGACTAACCTGGGCTGTTCTGGATGAACAGATCAGTGGCAGTAAAGTTTTTGACCGGTCCATTTGATGGCCACCTGTCCTGGGCCACAGCCAGGGTGCTCTGGAGCATCCTGCACTCATGGCTTGGCCACTCAGCCCCACACACAGAGTGGAAGGATCTTTGGCAAACGCTGATTTTTCCAAGATAACGCTTCAGCAGGTCTCAATAATAGAGTCCTGCTGTAAATCCACTTTTCCTACAACTGCTTAGTGCTGACTGAATGCCTTACTGCCCAGGTTTGCCTTCCTTCAGCTCTTCCTCCACAGGATCAGGGACTTCAGATCGCTCAAGGCCAGAGGAAAAAAAACAACCTGAATTTCTGTTACCATTTGGGATCATGACTGTATGAACATCTGCCAGGTTCCCAAAGGAGCTGCTTTGCCTCACTGAGGAATTTCAGCTTGGACCTGGAAATCCTATGGCTGTTAGCACCATGTCACAGCTCAAGTAATTACATCTGAGTCTCAACAGCCCAAGTGCATCCAGCACAGAGCTGTGCTGACACAGCTCCTGGTTGTGATTTGGGAGCTGCTGTGCTTGCAGCTCCTTGCCTGTGGGGTGCAGATGCACTCAGATCTGTCTCCAAGCCCTCAGCCCTGCAGCAGCCAGCAGCAGCAGAGCTCCCAGGATTTCCTTGGGGAAGGGTGAGAAGCTGGTTAGTGCAGCAGTGTGTGCAGTGATGGGAGTGTGATACAAGGAGGGAGGGGCAACCTTCTACCCCCATTCCTACCTGGAGTAGGGTAGGTGTAGGCACCTCTTCTAGGGCAAGGCACGGGGAAAGATGGCATTTGAAGGATGCTCAGTGGAACTCACACAGGGCAACTGATGTGGTTCATGAGTTAGAGGAGACCATGGAAAGGAAGATGATTTTAACCCACCCCTCCACTGTCTTGATCCCAGTGAGAACTTCTTTTATGGGCTACTGTAAAAGCACACGTGCACAAACATCCTCAGTGCTAGAGCTCATCATATTTTATTGTTAAACAGAGAGTTTAATTGTGAAAAATGAAAATTATTAAACACCACATTTTTTAAAAAAAGAAACATGACACAGGGTGGAACAGAGGAAATTATAAAACTTTGTCTGGATATGCACAACTTGACTGAAATAAATAAAAGCCCAAGGCCAACTTTAAGCCATTTTAGGGGAAAGTACTAGCAATAAATGGATATCCTTGGAGTGCAACTTACAGTGTGTTGAGGTTCTTGAGTCTTCTGAAGGCTCCAGGTCGTATCTCCTTGATGTGGTTGAAGCGTAAATCTCTACAAGCAGAGGGTATAAACAAGTCATTAGACCAGGAAAGGGAGTGGAGAAGGAGTGGGGACAATGGCTGGGGTCTGCTCTTGTCTGCAAAGTCAGGCAAAATCTGGGACAAGCCATAGTTATAAAATTCTTTATTCTAATTCCACAGAAAACCAGACACTAAAAGGACTCAAGGGATTGTTCCCATGAGCACCAGAAAAGAGTCTGCAGCAAAACACCCCAAGTTCACATCAAATTACTCTTGCATCCCATCCTGATTTGTAGAGGAACACACATCATCACGTGGACCCATAATTTAGCTCCCTACTAAAACTATGTTTGCCCTACAATGGTTAAATCTGCTCAAATAACCTCACACAATAAGAATTTCCCATTTTGCTCTGCAATGCTCCAAGACTTACAACAGCTTATCTCTGCCTGCATTTCAGATGTGTGCCAACTGCAATTAGAATTACTGGAGTCCAGGGGATTCTGGCAAATTTCAAGGGCTGCCCATGGAACTACATCAGCTTGGAACCCAAAACCATGGGGTTTGGATTGCTAATGGGATAATGAAATAAGAGCTAAGTGGTTTAACCTGGTTAACCAAGGATAAACACATCTATAGGGAATGTGCATTGGTTTGGCACCTTGCGTGGCCCAGTGTATTATAACAAATCACAAAAGCTGACAAATTGGGATTGCTGCAAGTTTCTGTCCAAAGCACACACTGAAGTGGATTTTTTTCTCCTGCACTGCTTGATGTATCACATTTGGGGAATACACAGCTATTTATTCATGCTAAGGCAGCCTTTTAAGGGCATTTTCTTTAAGAGGGAAAAAGCACGAGTTGCCCGTTCTGGTGGTGAAGTCCCACTTGGAGGCAGAGTTTAAAACAAGGATTCTACAAATAGTTGCAAATTCAACTTGTTTTGAGAGAGGCATCAAGAAGAATTGTGGCATTTATAAAATTCAAATTAGAAAGAGGTGCTGTCATTGTAGGTAGCCCCAAACTGACAGGGAGGACCCAAGGGGGATGAAACAGCTTGGAGCAAGTACTCAGTAAACGTAAATGTAAAATGTACTTTACAATGGGTAAAGCTGATTTTATTTTAAGATCATGGAATCATAGAATCACAGATTGGTTTGGGTTGGAAGGGACTTTAAAGTTCATCTCATTCTGCCCCCCCTGCCATGGGCAGGGACACCTTCCACTGTACCAGGTTGCTCAGAGCCCCATACAACCAGGCCTTGGACACTTCCAGGGATGGGGCAGCCACAGCTGCTCTGGGCACCCTGTGCCAGGGCCTCAACACCCTCTGAGTAAAAACTTTCTGCCTAATATCTAATGTAAACCTGATTTATTTCAGTTTAAAACCATTACCCCAACATGTAACATTTCTTTAACAGTTTGCAAAATGTAGGCATTCTATGCTAAAAATTTCATCATAAATTTTCTTACTTTTTAGGCAGAAAATGCAAGGCAGTTTTAATTAAATTATACTGAAATATCAAATCTCTGCCTTGTTACCCCTTTATTATCACTGGATGCAATAGCACGTAGGTCAGCAGAAGTTGTTTTTCTGTTGTGTTTTTTTCCTTTAACTTTTCCACTTCGACCAAAGGATTCAAAAGTCTAATGTAGAAAGAAATCTTCCACCTCTCTTAGTGGTAAATATTGCACAGAGAAGAATTAGAGAGCAGAAACAAATACAGCTTCAGAATATTTAAAACCCCCAATATTTCTAATTGCAATTCACCTTCTCTGTTTGTCCATTGCAAGCTGCAGATCCCAAAGGATCACCTCTGACATTTTCAGGTTTTTTTTTTTGGTTTAACTTGCATTGCTTCAAATGTGCATTTCTTGCCCTTCTTCTCGGAGGGACTTCTGTATCTTTCTTCCCTGGCAATGTGAATTTGAGGACATCTTTATGGATTTTTCCAGGCAATGGCTGCCACTATAAAGCCAAACACAATCAAACCCTGGCAGCAGTGACAGCACAGTTAAAAGGAAACCAGGAAAGGCCAGACCAGGAAAAAAGGTGAAGAAATTAAAACTTGATTTATGGCCTGCAGTGCACAAACACCAGCCCTGCTGCCCTGGGGGGTTGTACAGGGCCCTGTAATTAGTGCAGGCAGCTGGCTGCAGGTAATGGGGAACATTACAAATACATGGGAGGAGCACACAGGGGTCAGGGCTGGGGCTGGCCGTGCTCAGGGAAGGCACCAGGGGCAGGGAGTGAAATGTAAAATCCAACTTCAGGTCACAGGCTGCAGGTAGGGACAAGAAGCTCTGAGTGTTTTAATGAATGAAGACAACTGCAGCCCTTTAAACTACACAGAACTAGAGTTCTTTTTAAACTACACCACCCCCAAGGAGCAGGTAATAAAGCTTAGCTCATTATTTTAATGAAATATTTTAATTTTTCTTCTGTGTTCTATTCCAGGTAAGGCCTTTAGATCATTCTCTGGACCCCCGCTATCTTTCAGTCCTTTGGAAAGTTCTTTTTGGTTTGCTCTCCATCACAAGGGCAACAGCTTTCCCCACAGACAAAAATGGAACAGAAACACTGCATCCCTTCTCTGAGCACTTCATTTCAAGGAATGATGTGAAATAACTGGAGAGAATCCAAAATAAAGCAATGGGAATGATATGAAGTCTAGAAAACATGACAATGAAAAGAACTGAAATTGCTTATTTAACCATAGATAAAATAACTATGGCAGGAAATTGCTACAAATAGAAAGGGCAAATAGCCACTGACTGAAACTGCAGATTCAGAGGTTTTTTTAAATATCTCAATTAGCAAGGCTCATGAAACACCCAGTGCACTTCAGGTGAGACAGGCATTATCCACACATGGTTTAGGTAGATGGATCCTGCCCTGGAGCATGGACCAGGCAGCAATAAAAGGTACCAGTGCTGATGTCCCTGCACAGCAAAGAATGTCCCTGGGCATGCAGGGGAACCAACATATTCCTCTTTACCATATAAACCCCAATACTTTGGCTCATCCTTGGCTTTTTCACTGCAGATCTTGCCTTAGCCCGAAGCATCGCCGGCAGGGAAGGGCTGCACTGGGAATCCCTGGCTTGCAAGTGTTTGATTGAGAACATTCCCCACAGAGTTTGTCTCCTCTCACACTGAAACACTTGTTCCTCTCTATTCCCAGGGCACTCACTCTGGAAATTCACGTTCCTGTTCAGGAACAAAAGTGGTTTTTACAGGAACTCACCACGGAGCCTCTCCCAGGGCAGCTGCCCCCAGCTGCCCCACGCCACAGCAGCTGGGCTCCCTCCCTCCTGCCCACTTCTTTCCACCTGGGAATTTGAAAAATGGGGGGAAAAATAATCCCTCGTGATTTAACTCTCCCCCACGATCTCAAGGGTGGCAGTCTGGGATTACAAATGACCTTCCCACAAGGAACAGCTGCTGCTAAAGGATTCTGGATCCCCTTCTGCCTTCACACAGAGTGGAGGCCTGGGACAGCAGCATCACCCAACACAGATCCCTCTGGACAACACCAGTTTGACTGTCTCAGTTTAAAATCTCACCAAGCCCTCATGCTTTGACAGGAAAATGACCTGGAATATGTGGATAATCCAGGATGTGCTGTAGAAATCAGTCACCTTTTCTGAATTTGGGGATTATTGACAGAGACTACAAAGAATGCCAGAATTTGCACATGGATGGGGAAATGGATCTTTACAGAATTACACTGTCTGAGCCTCTCAGCTGCTATCAGAACAATCATCCCTGCAAGCCTTCTGTTAAATAATTATCAGTGATTAGCACATAAAGCAATCAATGGCTTTTACAAGAAACTTCCACTTCTGTTTAATCTATTTAGGCTTTCACAGACTCATGTATTACTATGTTAACTAAGCAGATAATTAGCTACAAGAGGCATTTTACTGCAGTTCTGTGGAAATTACTGGGTTTGTGTCATTGAAGAATCCTTTGTGCTCCCAATGCTGTGCACAGCAGTGAAGCTGAGGGCTCTGCCCAGAACTGGTTGGAAAGTGGCAGCCACATAATCACCACCAACAATGACACAGAGAGCAAAGGTGCTTTTACAGAGATAAGATGTTGAAGTTCCTCCCAGTGTCTCCAGAGGAAGGGAGGGCGTGAAAGATATCCTATAAAAATATCCTATAAGACTATTTTCCACCATACAAGAAGAGCCAGGACATTTATCAGAAAGATGCTCGTTCCTCACATTTATCTGCACAACATCAGAGTCAGCTCTGCAGGTTCCTCAGTCCTGCCAAACCACTCCAGTCCTGGCAGGAAGGGAAAACCGCCTTGCTGAGATGGAAATGAAGTCTTCCAGACTCACTGTCATCAGCTCCCCAACTCAGGAATGTTCCTGTCCCACACGAGTCCCCAAATGGCTTTAATAAATGACAGCCTTCATCCCAGAACCCCTTACATGGACAGCTGAGCCCTGCCAGATCTGCGAGGCAGATGAGGAGACCATGGGGAGGCTCAGGGCTGGGGATTTTCCAGGTCCTGGCTATTTTGGGCCTTACCAGCTTAAAACATCAAGATTTGACTGTTCAAAGAGTGAAGAGGAAAGAAAATATGTTGAGCATGGAGATACAAGGAAATGAAATGATGGGATCATGGCTGAAGCAGTGGAGAGCGAGCAGCTGCAGGGAGCCTCACTCTGCAGAACAGGCTGTGGTTCCCTGCTGCACTGCCACATCACTTATTTTAAAGATTCAGGAACACTACATTTTAATTAAGAAAATTACCACAGGCATTCCTGAACCCAGCTTTTTAAGATTCCAGCTCCCACAAACAGAAGCCAGGTTTTCCAAAGGGCTCCCTCTGCATCAGCTGGGGCAGGAACTGGACCATAATCCTGCAGCCAGTGTACCAAGCTGGTTTGATGTCACTTTTTCTGCCCATGCTGGGAATGCTGTGCCTGAAAGGCAGTCCCAGGGCAGGAGGGCTCTGCTGGTGCCTTATTCCTGGCGGGATCATTTCAAATACCACCTGGCATACCTTTAGCTCTTTCCAGGAAGGGTAGGGACAAGAGTGCCTCCAAAACATAGTTTTGGTCCTGAACACATATTCAAGTAGGAAGTTTATATAAAAAGATGCTGAATTCATCGATGCTAGATAATTTGAGCTATTATTTATTAGCAGTGGGATGAAGAGTAGGGTCTGATCCTACCCAAAGCAGCTGAGTCTATTCTTGGGCATTCCTGGCAGCACGACTCTCTCAACCTAATGCATCATTCTTTTGCACCATTTATCCAAGCCACATCAAAGGAAGAAAACTTTCCCTCCTCCTGAAGTATGTTCTGACCCTGATTCAGAGAAAGTAAAATAAACACTTTAATACTGAATCTCCTGTAGCTTAAGTGTCAGTCTTCCACTTTTTTAAGAGCATGATCATTAAAGTTTTTACCCAGAATACACACATTCTTTCACCAAAAAAAATACTGACTTCTCCTTAAAGAGAACAGGAAAGAGTCCTGGTGTCCTACAGGGAGAGGGATGTGGTGAGGGCAACAAAAATACAAATACTCAAGTGGGAACCAGATGCTGAACCACTGGGAAGTTCAGTGAAAACAGGATTTTTTTAAACAGTTAAGGTAGCTACAATCACAAGACTTAGGATGCTTCCATCAAAAGATGCTGGAATGTTTCTAGAAGGAAAATATATTTGAAACACCTTCCCTCCTCATTTTCCTGCCAATGAAGAGACTTCTAAAAACAGAACATAATATTCTTGGTCACCTCTAGAAGATTTAAAAAGGATTAAATACTGCAGTGAAAGAAGTCAGAAAGAGATTCTACCTGGCACATGCAGAATGTGTGGGTGTGCATTTAATGGCTGTATATAAGATTATCACACACAGAGGAAATGAGTAATCCCTTCTTCAACCCAAAACACACGACAGAGACCACAAACAGAGCAGCATTTCCAAGAACTCATTTGCTCAGTAAACCTTTCCCCAACAAATGTATAAAATTCTTTCTCAAAATGTGCTTATTAATAGACTAAGAGAGCTACACCCTGTCCTACTCCAGCCTTCCTCCTGCAGGAGGAAGAAAGGAGCTGAGCAGGCACCAAAAGCAGCACAACGAGGAAGGGAAAGAAAACTTGTCCAGCTGGCCATGCTTACACTGCCCAATTAGCAACCAGGTCTGTGAACAACTGGGTCACCTTCAGTTCAAGCCAGCCATGTGCTCAGATCCCAGATCCTGCCCTGTGCCCTCAGCTATGTTTCTCCAGCAGTACTCATTCATTATGTGCCCTGCATAATGCAGAAAGAAGAATAACCCATGGATAATTGGATTGCAATCCATTAGCTGCCAGCCAGAGGGGAACTTCTTTCCATGGATTTCTTCTACTCATGTCCACACGTTTCAAAGTTTATTGTTTTAAATGTCACACTGCAGAACAAATGGCTGCTAAGGTTAAAGACCTATTGAAATTTTCAGAGTGTATGTTCCACAGCTGTTCCCTTCCTTGGCTGCTGGCTGGAAGAACTGCCTGAATCCCAGCAGTAACCAGCAGATCACATCTGGATAATCATGTTCCAATTGAACAGACACCAGCCAAAATACGTTTGCAGTTCTACACCATGAATTTTTATGGCTTATCTGTACACGTGTAGTCATTCCTGCCATCCCATTCTCTGCTCGGGATAAAGCAAGCAGCCTCCATTACCAAAGATAAATAGTCTACTGCTAAAACCAGACTTGGGGCCAGATCCTCAGCTGTACCCAGCTGGGATTGGGAAGGGAGGAGGGAAATGGCGACCCAAGAGGAGCCAGTAACAGCTCATCAATCCTGGAGCTGGTCCCATGCCAATCCCAGCATCGCTCAGAGAGGGCGATGGGCGGCTCCGAGTGCCGCCAGCTGGCTGCAGCCCCAGGGGCCATCTGCCAATGGTGAAGCACAGCCTGTGCCAGCTAGGAGACCTCCCCACTCTTCCAGGATTCTTAGAGAGGATGGCATGGAGTCATGGAGGTCAGAAAGTCCCAAACTCCCAACTTCAAAGCAAACTCCATCTGGAAGCTGCAGCTGTTCTTCGAGGGAACCAAGCTGGAGCCTGGGATCGGTGTTTGGAGCTGCAGTCACAGACTCAGCCCTGTTCACACCAAAGATTAACTGTGGAAAATATCCCAATCCCACATTTTCTGCTCAGAATAACTCCGTGATCAAGACTATTCTTGCTATAATTCCAACTGTGCAGTCTGACACAAGGGTTCTCCCAGGAGAAACACTAACATACCAGAAAGCTGGAGGAGTCAGGGCTTGGTTAAGAAGCATTCCTTGATCTTCCACAATTCAAGAAAAGTCTAATTACTGAAATGCTATTTATAACAGATACAAATGGGATGCTGGCTGGGAAATGCATTTGCATATATTAGATCTTCAAGATAGCCAGACAGTCAGGATTTTTCCTTGCCACACAAAGGCTCATGATCTGCCAACAGAGAGCACTCACCAGGCTCATCTGTCTTTATGTCTATGATCAACAATATGTAGTTTGCTTATAATTATGCAGACAGTAGTAAAAGAGGATAAAATGGTTAAATCACCTTAAAAAGTACTGGTTCATGAAGAGTCGTCATCCTCTGCAATATTGCAGGTTTTATATCTCCCACCTATACTACTTTAATGTTTTAAAAGCCAGTTTTCCATTCAAGGTGGTGCAGAAAATGAAGTGTGCTGCTGCCAGAGGGAACACACCATTGCAGAACTGGGAAAGAGTTGGTGACTCAGTAAACTTCCCTCCCTCTGCACTCAAAGGATCTCTAGCAGAAACTCACTCAGGCTTCACTGTGACAGCAAATGTTGCCTCATTCAAACAGAGAACAGGAATTGAGCTTCAATGATCTCAGAAATACCTCAGTTCAGCCAATGGAACAAACCTTTCCCTGAATAAAATCTGGGTTTAAACTAGGAGGAACAAGACACTTTGCTAAAATCAGTGTCAGGGTACTTTAAATATTTTAATATTTCAAGATGCAGGGGAATAAGGGGGAGATAAAGGTTGGTAAGAGTGTGAAGAATCAGATGCTGCAAGTCAGGGTAAGGGCACATAAGCACTGCCCAGTGAGCGAGTACTGAGCAGGGTCACACTGCAAATAATCACTCCAGCACCAGCCCAGGCAGTGAGAAAGCTTTGGCAGCTGCAGCAAGCGTAGAGCTCATCCTGTGGGCCACCAATGCAAGAACCTCTGTGGTCTCCACCCACCAAAGCAGACCTGGATGGCAGCAGTGGAATGCCAGCATCCTGGCCACAGCATGTTCCTCTGGCTGCCAGCAGAGAAAGTGCATTAGCAATATCAGTGAGATGTTCATGGGAGAATGCTGGTATGGATGTGCCAGCTGAGATAAAAGTCAGCTTGTTATAAGCAAAAAGCTGCTCAAACTCGAGTTGGAAAGGTTTTGCAACAGGCAGCAGTTTAGGGAGGATGAGCATGAAGATTCATTTTTGACAAGTCTTTCCAACTACTAACAAAAAATGGTCATCCAAGACAAGGGATCAGATAAGAGTAGCACGAAGGGAAGGATTTTGTCAAGTGTCATTGCATCTTAAAGCCACCTTTAAATTTAGGATTAGTCTAGAACCACAGGGAAGTGCTCTTCTGCACCTATCAGTAAGAGCTCTTCAGGAGTCTCCAAAAATTCAATGTCCTTTTCCTCCCCTCTTCTGTTTGAATGGATTCAGCCACCAGCTCCCTCACTTTCTTATTTCTCAAGTAGTCTGTGAGTTACCACAGCTGTTACTTTCCAAATAAGCCTCAGCTTTGGTTTGAACAGTTCAAGTAGAAAGTGGAAAAACAGTACTTAGAAATTCAGTACTGAAATGGTGTTGTATATATAAGGAAAGTGTTCGTGTCACTGGAGACAAAAGCCTGAGCTGCTCTATTTCCTCTCTCCCCTACACCCATACACAAAGCCTACTAAAATGCAAACTGTGTTCCTTTCCATAAGCTCAGTTTAACATTTCTGACCTTTGATTCCCCAAAACTGTCTTCCAGTGCTTGCTTGGAATTACTCTCATTAAATTTTTCAATTCCCTTGATTGTCCCATCAGCAATTAACTGATGCCAGAAGCAGCAGTTTCTGTTTCATGTTTTAAAAGCACAAAACAGTTGTGGCTGTTAATTCTGTGGGGGTCAAAAAGGATATAAAATACGCCTTTGGCCTTTTTTTTTCCCTTCTTTCTAAAGACCACGCAGGTAAGAAAGGCAGGAAAATGAAGTGGTTACTCACAGAATGTTTGTCTGGGCTTGAGGCTGATAATTCTGTGGGGGGCAAAGAGGATATAAAGTATGCCTTTGGCCTTTTTGCCTTTTTTTTCCTTCTTTTTAAAGACCACGCAGGTAAGAAAGGCAGGAAAATGAAGTGGTTACTCACAGAATGTTTGTCTGGGGCGGGATCTCGGGGATGGTTTCCAACATCAGATGCATGCATCTCACTGTAGTCCTGAAGCACAGGCAGCGGCTGGGGCAGGAGCAGGAGAAACCGGGCAGGAGGAGAAAATACAAAAAGCCTCCAAGAACTGAAGGTTTGATCAGCATGGTGTTTGCTGGAGCGTATTTGCCTCAATTCTGAGCTGCAGGGAGCTGACAAAAAAAGTTTCCCAGCCCTGAGGTCCAGGAGGAGGGGACTCATCAGCATGTGTTTGCAATTAAATTAAGGCAGTTTGACAGTCCAACCGCCCACCCTCTCTGCCATTCTGCACATCACTGGAGATCACACTGTCCCCACCCCTCTCTAATTGTGGCGCTGAAATACAAACTCTTCCTTTGGATCTATTTTCGCCTTGTTGCTTCTTTTAAACAGCAAGTTAACTCCTCACCTTCTCCTCAGGCATCTGTCTGAAAGCACAGTGCACCTCCATGGACAGCAACCAAAAAATGACCTCGTGGTCCAGGGCTAAGCTGGGATGCAAAAGATGCAGGGCCAACATTTTTATGTCAATTTTTTTTTTTTTTTTTTTTTCCCCTAGCACAGTCTGCAAACTAAAGAGAGAGATTTATCTAACAGCCTGTCAAATGCATGGTGCTGTAAGACTTTCAGGATAGAGGCTGTCTCCTATTACATGTAGTTACAACATCAAGCAAAAATATGCCTCCAACCATTGAGTGGGCATGGGATGTAACAGATAAGGGATTTTAAAAGGGAGATCACTAACAGAGATAAATAACCTGCAAATAAAGACAAAACCCCACCCTGGAGTCTGTAAAGTTTCTCAGGCAGAGTAAAAGCTGATTCATTTCAAAGGTCTTTGACCAAGTGCAATTTCTTTCAACAGGGACGTCAATTAGAAAAATGTTTTTGAGAAATTCAAGGCAACTGAGGGGTGAAGAGGGGTAAAAAATATTAAATCAGCTGAGCTAGAATTGTAGGGAATGCAATCCTCCATTTGTTTCCCCCCACTGGAAGATAAATTTGAGATGCAAAAGGCAGGATTTGTTTCCAGTTGAATAAATTATCTTTATGAAGAAGCAACAGTAAAAACAGCTTATCTTTAGGTTTCAGTCTATTACTACACAATATCCTAAATGTATGGGTTGAGCACAAGGGAGGCATTAACACACATTAGGATTTATATTGAGGAGTTCCTAATACAGCACCATCCCACATAACCTGGCAGGTCAAATGAAAGCTTCCCACCAACCTGCACATCTGCTTTGTCCTGTACATTACAAAATAATTAATGTGGCAAAGGAGACAAGAGTGACACTTAAACCTTCCTGGTTCAGATTCTCTGTCACTTGAGCATTTGGGGAGAGCCTTGGGTTTGGGGTTTCACCTAAAATTTCATGCTATGGAAGGTAAAACATGAACTCGTTTGTCCAGCTATAAAAGAGAATTATCCTGCAGGCTTTCTGCAGTTAGCCCTCAGGCAGTCGGCTGTTTGTTTGCCCTGGCATCACTTGGAAATCCCAGCAAGTTCACTGAACTCATGGTTTTGGGCAGAGTGTCCTCTAGTGGCCACCCAACCCAACCCAGGCCAACCCTGCTCACAAAAACGGGTTGTAAAAAGCCAAATTATCATCTTCAGCCTTCATACAACAACTGGCAGCTGAAACCAGACTGCTCTGGTGAATAGGACACCTTTTAATTCCTGAGGCGTTGCGTGCTTTAGAAGCACATCCTCCATGTGCATCAGGCAATGCATGTTATGTGAAAATCTTCCTGACTGAAGTTCTGTGTTCTTCCAGCCTCACTGCTCCCACATCAGCTCCTTCCAAAGCCCACTAGCCTTCCAAAGCTAGGACAGCATAGCATGGCTGCTAGGAGCTGTTCTGCAAAGCTGGGAAATAAAAATCCCTCTCTCCAAACGATGTGTCAGTTATTCTGGAGCCATCCCTTCCCCTGGCACACCTGGCCACTCTGCAAATAGAAGGCTTTTGCTTTCTGCCTCTGTGCTGCATAAACTGAGTTGGAAACCAACCCTCTGCAACAACAACAACAGAAATCCCTTTTTATTTGTATTGCAAAGAGGAGAGCTGGGCCAGGGCTCAGTCCCATTTCTGTGGGATGAGTCCTGTCTGTGGAATTGCATTTCAAGTCCAGCTGTGCTGTGGGGAGCAGCTTTGGGATGGATTGAGGGGCATTTGCCCACTGCTCTGTAGGAATGGGATCTTGAGCCAAGCCAGCAGAGTTAACAGAGCATGGGGAATCGTTTCAGTGCAAGGCAAGTTCTGCAACCCACACATTTTCTGGGCAGCAGTTCTTCACCACTTCTCTCCTGCCTTGCTCATCTCCCCTCATGATAAATAGGATGTTGGTGAGGGTTAAGGAACACCAGCAATCCCAGGCCCCTTACTCTCATATTAATTTGTCTTATTTTCCATCAACATGACAAATTCTTTAAAAAGGAGTGTGCATCTGTGAGCAAGAACCAAAACTTGTCTCCTGAACACCAGGAATGATGTCAACCCTTGCGTCCCATGCTCCAGCATTTCCAGCCTCTGCTACACAGGCTTTTCACACCTGTAGTAAGCAAGTTGGGGTGGGTTCGCTCAGATATTTTTTTCCCCCTTCACCCTTTGGTTTTTTTATTTTTAACTCTCCCTTCTGTCCCTTTTTCTTCAGCAGAAAGATTTCCCTCAGGGGACCAGCCCCCTCTATACCCCAGGGAACTGTGATGTTCTATGTTTTACAATGAAGTGAACATAAACATCATCTGACAAGTTTAATTTCCTCAATGCCATTTGTATGACACACCCACGGCTTTCCAAAGCAGAAAAGGATTTTCTTTCAGCACATATCACGTGAAGGAAAACATTAACGTTGAACTAATCTCCTGTTATAGCTGGGAAAAGGACATTTATCATACACACAGTTGACAGGAAGAAACACACAGACAGGCAATTATCCTATGGAATAAAGGTTAACAGATTCATTTAATTAGCAGCAGCTGTATTTGCTATTATGATCAGACTCCTAGCACAGCTGAAACCAAAATATTGTTCTCAATACTGGAGAAATGAAAGCCTTGAACATTCGCTCTTAAAAATCCACGTTGATTAAACACTCAGAGCCCAGGGGACAAGAGGGGAGCTGCAGTTCAGAATGCACAGAACAAACTCCTGACACGCTGGTTCAGGCAATCCGTGAAGCACAGAAATGGATGAAACATCTTTTGATATCTGTTATTTACAGGTCAAACAGCCAGGGAACAAAGCCCACTCTTTAACCACTCTGCCACATTAAATCTACATCAGTGCTGTGTCTGCTGATCCCAAAATTCATCTGCACAGCTGCATTACCTCAAGGCTTGCAACTCAACATCTGGGCAGGTTTGAGAGAACACATTCTGAGGAGTTCATCTAAAACTATGCACCTGCACCATATTGTTAAGCATTTTTCTGCTGTTTGTGTCTTGAGCTCCCATTATGGAAATAAGCACTCACCTACAAAGTATTCCAACCACAACAAAGCCATGTTAAGAAGGCTAAAAAGTCTTTACTAAATTTATTGATAAGCACTTATTAATGAAGTTGAAATTGCATAACACTTCTGCATGCCTCAGGCCAACTGAACTCTAGTTTCTATACAGATTTTTCAGCTTACACACTCATGACTAAAGCAGCTTGAAGTTCAGCTCTCTTTGCAAATTTGCTGCAGGATTGAAACCTGAAAGGAGTCACATACAAAAAAATGTGACAACTACTGAGAACACAGAAGGAAACAAAGCAGGTACAATTCCTGGACAGCTCACAGATCCAAACAAACCCAGCTCTGCCTCCATCCCTCTGCTAGAAATGCCTAAAAAACTACAGTGCAAGTGCTTGTGCACGGGGAAAATGTATTTACAACTCCCCTTGATTTACAGGCTATAAGCAATACTATTTCACAGTTATATTATACAAAGAATTTCTACTTTCTGTTTAGATCTGTGGGGGTTTTTTGGACAAGAGGACAATTTGACAACCTAGAACATAAATTTCCTGTATATATATTTATTTATTTATTCAACCTTATCCAGGAAAAAATAGCAATATTTATGCATCTTATAGAAAGCTACAAAAATCTAGCAAGTGTAATAAAAAAGGCAAATCTGGTGAAAAATCTGATAAAATACCTTTTACAACTGGGGCTGAGATGGGGATAATAACCAAACAAGGGATAAATGAAAGATAATCCTCCCTCAACTAGTCAGCTTTAACAGAATCTCTGCAAGGCTTACTAACAGGAACATGAAGTTTAATGTCATTTTTAGAGGGATTTCTTTAAAAGTGTTGTGATTAAACTGAAGGATGACCTGGCAGCCAAAAGCAGGAGGCACCCTGGACTATGGAGGGGTGTGGAAATTGTGCCACAATCCAGAAAGGCACATACCTGGCATGACACCCATTAAACAGACTATTCCAACAAATAACAGGCCACAGCATGTTGGGAAGCAGTGAGAATAATTACACACAGTTTCTATTAACCCTCTATTTACCACCACATTCAGGACTTGCATTTGTAGAAAGAAATGCATGGGAGTTGCCAGAACCCAGTGATGGGACGTGCACCTTTACAGGAAACATCAGCTCAGTGGCCACAGAACTGCCCCACTGCAAATAAAGAAATCAAAATCCAAGGGAGCAAGACAGCTTGGGGTACCATTGAGACCAGAAGTGGAAACAGGAAACCAGAGGCAAAACCCAGCCTATGACTGTGTTACATGCCAGCAGCCACATTATATAGGATTATCAGATGATATTCCCAAAGAGACACAAAAATCCTCTTAAGCAAGGAAAAGTTCTCCACTTCAGGCTTAGACATACATGTTATTCATTTATTTTCAAAGCCACACAGAACTTTGAAACCATTTTTCATGAAGCAAGTTGTGCAACTCGGGACCATTTGGCAATACAGTCTTCACTCATTCCTCCTCAAAAAATGAGGAGACAGTACAAATTTAAAAAAAAACAAAAGATATCAAAATGATACCAACTCAAGTGCTTCTGATGGGGCAATGCCTTAACACAAATTCATTACCTGCTGAAAGAGAGCTTTTCATTCCCCCCAGCTTTAGGACTATTTCACATCAACACAAACTCCAGGCTTTTTTTTCCAGCCTTTATCAGTTCAGGTACATTTCCCAAACAGGCTGAACCAAGTAAACCTGTTCTAAACACAGTATTTTATCATCCACAGACATTGTGGACTCCCCATTCCTGAAACTGCCCAAGGCCAGGCTGGATGGGGCTGGGAGCAGCCTGGCCTGGTGGAAGGTGCCCCTCTACATGGCAGGGGGTTGGAACAAGATGGTCTTTAGGGTCCCTTCCAACCCAACCATTCTGTGATCCTATGACTCCATGGCATCCCCTTCCATCACCATGACAGAGTGCTTTAGAAATAAAATTTACAGCTCACATCCACAGAACTGCAGAGTGACAAAGCTTTCCACATGAAGCTGTTAAAATTTCTGCTTTGTTGCTGCAGGAATAAAATCACCTACCCAGCTGAGCAGCTCCAGTCCACTGTGGAACACTTGCGAGCAAGGTGTATTCTGGCCACCTTGCCACAGCAGGGGCACACTCAGGAACACCTGAGAACTGCATCAGTTTGGCTCTCTAGGCTGCTCTCAGGTTCTGCAGACCCCCCACAAAACTCTGTTTGGCTGATTTACTGCTCAGGCTGGCGCTCTGCACCTCACTCTGCTCAGCCCAGGTGATCTGAGCTATCTCACATGACAGCAAAACCCACTGACACTGCTTTCAGCTTGCACAAACTCACTGCTCTGCAGCTTTTCTCTACCCTTTTTCCCACTCAGAATTACTCTGTAAACATTTTCAGAGACAGCAGTCCCAACCCTGACTACCTTGCATCCTGTCAAAGTTAAACAGCTTTGCAATTCCTCACTTGCCTCCATAGCTTTGAAAGAACCACAGAAACCTAACAACTCGTTCTCTAGAACAGGGGTTTTCCATTAAAAAACCCCAGTGTTTTGTAAAAACATTTTTAGTGAAAAATTATATATAATTTACAAGCAAAGCAGACCAACCAAAGGGGAGCTGATGCTTTCCTTCTCATTCAAAACCTGGATGCCACAAGGGTAGTGCCAAAAATTCCTTTCTGTGAAAGTTGTGCTTTTCAGATTACTGGAAGAAACATGATTTGCCAGGTCAGGTTTTAACTAATTATCTTCATCCTCCATTAAACATACACCATGGCAAATACATGGCAGGTTTAGTGGGACACAGCACAGACAGGAAGGGTCTTTGGGGATCTGCTCAGGAGTTTTTTCCCCAACTGATATTCGGTAGAGCAGCCATGAGATTTTTAGAAATATCTCCTGCAGTTAGTTTTGAGGGAATTAAATCCTCCTTTCCATAAGCAGCTGAGCACTTCACCAACTTGCTTCCTAAGGAATCCCTGCTGTAGAATTAAACTATAGCACACAACTGAGAAGAAAGAAAAAACTCAAAAAAGCTATAATGTCAAAGTTTACAGCAGCCACATTCCCCAGCCAGCCTACTGCCTCGGGTGTCACGTTGGCAGGCAAGCAAGTGGGACACATTTGTCAAGCCCTAAGGAATACTTTATTCTCTGCCTACTTCCCACTTTCTAAAAGAAGAAAAACTACTTTTCCCTGTAATAAAGCAAGTAATACTTCAAGGGATCGGGCAACGGCAGGCTCAAGACCTTTTCTCTCAAAAAGTTTACAGGAGGGTCTGGCTTTAGTTCAGAGGGTTTGGATTCCTCCTCCTCCAGCCTGTCCTCCTCCATGTCCTCGCTGTTGTTGTTGTCGTCCGAGGGGCTGGAGATGCGGCTGGCGAACACCTCCTTGTCCAGGAACACGATGGTCTCCATGCGCCGGCGCCGCAGCCGCCGCCGCTTGAACCTGGGCGGGCTCCTCAGGCCATTCCCAGCTCCACTCAGGGCCTCCTCGTGGATGAGCTTCTTCAGGGTGCCTCGGATGGCGATGCGAGCCAGGTCCTGCAGGCTGCGAACGGCCACGGGCGCTGCAAGCCAACCAAACCTGTGAGCACAGAGGGACAAACTTCCCCCAGAGGTACTCCCAGGAAAAGTTCTGTTTGCTCAGATTAAATCAGGCCATTCGAATTCCCTGCTGGGATTACACAAACAGCTCTATTCAGCTCCTGTCAACTCGGATAAACTGTGTTGCAAGTTTCCAAATGAAATTTAATTGTGCGTTTCTCTCATTAAAAAATGTCCTGCCTTGATTTCAAGTTCTCAGTTATTCTAAGACGCACATCTTAAAGATTGTGTGAATGCAGACTTAGTGAGGGAAGCTGTGATTGTTTCATTGGCTTAGAATCAGGTATTTTCCTGTGGTAGATAACTAGACCTGAAGTCTGTTTAATTCTTCCACAAAATGATTTTTCTATTGTACAGTTCCTTCAGCTTTGCCAAGTTCTGCACTTATAAAACACAAGTACTATTTATGCTCTTCAAAAACTGCTTCAGACTTAGTGGGTGAAGACAGGCTGAAAACCATTTTGTGGAAGTAATTATAGCAACATCACACTAAGTTACTGTATTAAAATGCCTCCCACATTAAAGGCT